TGCACATCCTTCTAGTTGCTGTATGTGGGACGCGGCCTCAGCATGGCCGGAGAAGCAGTGCGTCTATGCGCGCCCGGGATCCGAACCCGGGCCGCCTGCATCAGAGCGCATGCACTTAACTGCTAAGCCACGGGGCCGGCCCCCCTTTAACATTTTTAAAACAAAACAGAGGACAGCAAAGAATAAAGATTTCTCCCTAGTGAATGACTAGAGAATTCCAAGGGTCCACTCTGTACAGTCAGAGGTCCTTACACTGTATTGATACTGCCAAAAGGGACAAATGGTTAACCAGAGTGTGGAGGTGTTCAAGAATGTCATGGGTTTTTTTAAACTAACTTTGTCTGACTCTAAGCTCCCATCTGAATAGGGGGCTTGGGGGTAGGTCCAATTTCAGCGGTTTCTGAGACTTTCCTCACCTCCCCCGGGTCTTATAGGATCTGGAAGCTTTGTGTGGCCCAAGGATAGGAGGGGTGAGCCTCTCCTCTCCTGGTCATCGTGGTCACTGGGGGTCCCCTGACCCACAGCTTTTGCTTCTGTTCTGTACATGGCAAGAAGCGTTTCTCCCTTCTCCCCTCTTCTCTTTAGTCTACTTTCAAACTGAAATCTGCCCACTGCCACAAAAAGCAGTTATGATTGCTATGAGCAGAAAGCTGCCCGGCTTACTCTGTTAATCACATCCTTCCATTATCTCTGAGGCTCTCATCATCGCTAAGGGAGCAGTCTATAAGCAATAATTTCCCTTCCCCTTACTCAGATCAGGGGGAAGAAAAAGGAGATTAAATTCTCCTTCTGTTCATGACACAACTGATAGCTATATCATCTCTGTCTTTTTTTTCCTAATAAGAGACAGGAAGAATTTGAAAAGGTTACCTAGTCCAACAGCGATAGTTTTAACCTTTTCCTCTGCCTCCCACACTGTCCTCTTCATTCAGTGCCCTTTCCTCAGCTTTACCATTATGTTTGGGTTTCAAGTCTCATTAAGTTTGTAATTCAATCAACACATATTGATTGGATTTCCTTTGTGTGTAGCCCTGTGCTGAGTATGCTGTTTTCTTCTCAATTTCTAACAGAGAAATGCCAGCAGAGCATTCGTTCAGATGCCTCTGGATGTGGAAGAGCCTTTTTGCCTAGAATATCCAACTGCTACTTTGACAAATGCTCTGTGTAATGAACAAGCCAAAGGGGATAATTTAGACCAGAAATTAATGGTTCGGGAACCTGAACTATCTTGGGTTGTCTTTTTTCCATCTCTTTTGTGTGTGTGTGTGTGTGTGTGTGTGTGTGTGTGTGTGTGAGGAGATCAGCCCTGTGCTAACATCTGCCAATCCTCCTCTTTTTTTGCTGGGGAAGATTGGCCCTGGGCTAACATCCGTGCCTATCTTCCTCCACTGTATATGGGACGCCGCCACAGCATGGCTTACGCCAAGCGGTGTGTCAGTGCGCGCATGGGATCCGAACTGGCGAACCCAGGGCCACCGCAGCGGAGCGCGTGCACTTAACCGCGTGCGCCACCAGGCCGGCCCCTTTCCATCTCTTTTGATTGAACTTACAAACCAAATAATTGCATCTACTTGGTGCTGCGTCGATACATTCTGAAGAAAATGTCATCGTCGGCTTTATCAATAATACATTCTGCTCTTCAAAACAGAGATTTAAAATTAAGAAACAATTAGAGGAATTAAAAACATTTATTTTATTTCAATATATAGTTCCTTTTAACAATCCAGGAAACTCTAGTCTTAGTGAACAAGATGATAATACCTATGTGGCACCTTTAGTCTATTGCTCCTTTGGAAAACTATGAATATTTCTTAAATGGGGAGCTCTGAAAAGAGAGAACAGGGGCCGGCCTGGTGGCGCAAGCGGTTAAGTGCATGCGCTCCAATGCTGTGGCCCAGGGTTCGCCAGTTCGGATTCCGGGCGCGCACCAACGCACCGCTTGTCAAGCCATGCTGTGGTGGCAACCCACATAAAGTGGAGGAAGATGGGCATGGATGTTAGCCCAGGGCCAGTCTTCCTCAGAAAAAAAAAAAAAGAGAAAGAACAAATGAGTTGTGTTTTTAGAGAAATAGAAGTAAAATTAGAAGTTATTCATAGATAAATGGTTATGAACATCTATTCTAATGTATTCAGTCTTTCCCACTTAAAGTGTTGTCCATACACTGGTCTGTGAAGGTAAGGGTGAGCACTGTCTAGGGGATTTGCAGTGGAGTGACTTGGCAGTCGTCTCATTAACAATTTAATACTTCCATATTACCAGGTGCTTTAATTTCCAAGTCCTGGAGTTTTAAGGAGAGTTGGTATAATGAAATTCCAAGGTATTCATTTACTCACTTAACCACAGACATTTAAACAAACTCAATGACATTAAAAACAATGATGACAACACCTTCCCTTGACTCCATCTCCCCTCCAGTTACTGCCTTCTCTCTCTCTCCACAGGGAAACTCCTCACAGCTTGATGTACTCACTACCTCTCCTCTCTGTCCACTCTCTTCTAATCTGACGTTCACCCCCCGTCTACCAAAACAGCTCTAATGCTCCACGGACACTTTTCAGTCCCCATTTTATCCATTTGTCCCTTCTTGAAACACTTTCTTCTCTTGCTTCCATTCTCTCCTGGTTTTCCCCCACCTTCTGGATCTCTTTTGTGTAGATTCCTGTATATGGCTGTTCCATGTTAAGATTTCTCAAAGCTCAAGTCCTAGGCCACCTTTTCTTCTCATTTTCTAATCTTTACTGAGGTAATCTCATCCACTTTTATGCCCACATTTACATTTCCTTCCCAGACCTCTCCTCTGAGCTCCAGACCTGTGTGTCCAATTGTGTACTCTCGACCCCTACTTGGAAATCTCAAAGGTCCTCAAAATCAACATGCCCCGAATGGAACTCAGCATCTTAATCCCCCCTTGCCAGTGTTTGATATCTCAGCAATGGCACTGATGTCCACTCAGCTGCATAATCCTGACGCCTAGGGATTGGTCTTGAAACTCTCTTCCCCTTAGCTCTGCCTCCCATAGTATCCAGTGTGTTACCAATACCTTCTAAGTATCTCTCAGACCCACCCACATCTCTGCATCTATGCTCCCGCCCTAATCCAAGTTAACATCTTGTCCTATCTGGACTTCTGCAGTAGCCACCTAACTGGTCTCCCACATCCCTCTTTTCCAGCTCAATCCGTCCTCCCTACTGCAACCAGAATAACCTTTTTAAAATGCAAGTCTGATCAAGCTGCCTGGATGCTTAAAACCTTTCAATCACTTAGCATTGCTTGCAGCAGAAAGATCATAATCTGACTACCTGTAAAGACTTGCATCAGCCCCCACCCCACCCCCCGCCGCTCCCTCTACTCCTTGCATACTAACTTACTTTCAGTTGCTTTCATGTGCCAGGTTCCTTTCAGCCACAGGGTCCAGCACAGGCTTCAGCACAGTTGTTCACTGTGTTTCAAACTCTTTTCTTGGTCTGTCCTCCCTAGGTTGCCTAACTCTACTCGTCTACCCGATGTAAGGTCACTTCTTCACTGAAGCCTTTCCTGACCCCTGAGACTGAATCAAATCCCCCTGTTCTACACTCTCATAGCACCCAGTTTCTCATCAGAGAAATTATCTTCATTTGTGTTTATACATTTTGTTGCATAATGATTTGATTAATGTTTGTCTTGCCCAATAATCTGTTAGTTCAATGAGGGCAGGGACTATATTTATTATTCTTACCATTTTATCCTCAAAGCCTAGTGCAGTGCCTGGCACATAGTAGGCACTCAATAAAAGTTTCTTGAATGAATGAACAAAGGCATGAACAAATGAAGGTCATAGTGACTTGCTCAAGGTCAAGATGGCAAGCCTGAGACCGCAGCCAGGTGTTCTAATTTCCAGTCCAGATTACTAGCCTTCTTACAAAGAGCTTGTCCTAGATTGTTCTGAGTTATTGGAACCAAAGCAACTTCACAACTCATCAAGTCCAATTTCTTGACCCTACCATTTTCTATGGATGGCATTTATCCAGCAAGGGGATGCTGTAGGTAATTTTTCCTTTTTCCACAAAACACACGCTATCTTGTTGCTCTATTTTGAAGGGGTATTATGATAAACCATGCCACTATCTAAAATTTGTAAAGCTTCTTGGGATTCTCAGAAGAAATATAAGGTATAGGCCACAAAGAGCAATTTTGTCTCTTGCAATAGAATTTCCTGTTCAAAAAATGCTGTTAGTTTGAAAAGTTGGTATCTCCAAAAGAGCATTCTATTAGGTGGGATAATCATCATGATACTCCCAGCTGCTGCGTATACAACTTCTCTTACCAGTGAAAAAGGAGAAAGCCACTTTGCTGTGTGGAAGCGCCTTGTGTGTTTTCTAAAATCTATATAAAATGTTCAGTGGTTAGGAGGAGAGGCTGCTGTATTTATAAGACAAATAGGTTCACCGTTACCCTGAAGAAGCTTGAAGAAGTGATGCTCAAGGGTCTTTGTGCCATGGATGAAAATGGAATCATTATTTTTGAATTCCCCTTGCTCACGTCAATGACTCCCACCTACAGCCGATCCACTGGTTATAAGTAGCCATGAATCACCTTGCAGATTGTAGGCAAGGTAACCAACTGGCGCCAGCCAAAGCCAAACTCCTGGTAAGCTTAATTAGCCCTTTCTGTGTGTTTCGTGTCCATTTCACACCTTTGAGTGGGAGACAGTCTCTATTTATGCTGGTATGGTGTGTCTGTCTCAGACCTGTGTGTAAGGTGCATTTCTCAGTTTAGGGTATATATTTTTTTCTCTTTTTTTTGAGACTGCTAACACATAAGTAATTTAAGGTTAGCTTCTTTTTTTTGTTTTAAGACAAAGTGCATTTGGAGACAAAGTGCATCTTTTTCAAAGATGAAAAGGCATACTCAGACTTTCTAGGTTGTATTCATAATTGCTTTGCTTATCACTGTATAATGCTGTCATCATCATGGACTCCTTTAAGCCATCAACTGGATTTTGGGGGGCCTCACTTGCAAATGAACCCGGAAAAAACGGGCTGCAAAATTCAGGTGAACCAATATACTATTTCTTCTTCCTTGTCTTGCCTTAACAATGTTTCCTCTTTCTCTTTTCTACTTTTGCCCTCCCTTCTCTCTCTCTCTCTCTTTCTCGGTGACCATCGACATTTCCCTGGTCCTTCCTTTCACTCAGCTTCATTCCACCATGCCCAAAGCATTCCTGCTGCTGTGTGTTGCCCTGGTGCTACTTGGGCTTGTGCATGGAGCCACGCTGAGAAATGAAGAGAAATGGAAGTCACTCAACAACCCCAGAAACCGTGAGCTGGTAAGAACATACACTGGGACACGCTGGGCTGCAGGCTGGATTCATGCTCACTGTAGTCTGCTATCGCACAGTAGAGAGGACCTACCAAGGGCTGAGAAGATTCCCCAACAGGACCGGACAAGAGTTTTGCTAGCCTAGTGGCTGGCATCCTATTGTTCCTCTGGCCAATCTACATTTGTTTCTGTAAGGAGAAACAAATTTATATTTAGAAATGATCTTATACACACATAGCACACTACATTTGTAAATGGTCTTATATACACATGGACTTTATAGCCTTGATTTCTAATACACATACAAAGTCAGGAATGTAACACGGAAGTGCTCATTGTACTGCCTAGGTTGAACTGATAATAAAACAGAGTCTCATATAACCAACACTTGCAAAGCTCAATTGCAAAAACAGAAAGTTTACCTGTATTCTTGTCAATTCACTAGGCATTATTTTCAACATAAAGGCATCTAGGAAATAGAATTCAGAATATCAGTAAAAATTCTCTTTTAAAAAATATGCCAGGGGCCAGCCCCATGGCGTAGCAGTTAAGTGCGCGCGCTCTGTTGCTGGCGGTCCGGGTTCAGAACCCGGGCTCGCACCGATGCACCGCTTGTCAGGCCATGCTGTGGCGGTGTCCCACCTAAAGTGGAGAAAGATCGGCATGGATGTTAGCTCAGGGCCAGTCTTCCTCAGCAAAAAGAGGATTGGTATGGATGTTAGCTCAGGGCTGATCTTCCTCACACACACACAAAAAAGCCAAATAAATAAACATGCTGACATTACTATTTCAAAATATAGTTTTCCTAAAGAAAATGATGTGAAACCTAACCATATAGGATTAAAACAATCAGATAGCACTTTGCACAGCTTCTATGTATTCATTTCCTAGAGGAAAGCTGAAAACCCCATGTCTGAAAAGAAACTCTTGCAGAAGGCAGTGATGGGGGTCTATGTCACTGTCAGTGAGGGGAGGCACCAAGCTCTGATCACTGTGGAGTTCAATTTAAAGTCCCCGACCTTGGCACCCAGAGATGCACAATGAACCTTCTGACGGTGGTGCTGTTAATAATGGACATCCCTCTCGCTTTCCACCAAGAATGGTGAATTATCTTGTTAAGGGTTGAAATGTCAGAAGGAAGGCATGGTGGAGGACAGTAGAGGGGAGAAGAAGTAGCCAAAATTGGTACTTCTGTTTCTGAGTTTTCCACCTCCTGCCTCCTAGATTAGCCCTAAAGTCAATTCAGGGGGAAAATATTCATCTTTGAGTATTTTTGGTGTTTAATTTATATATGGCATTGAACATTTTTTTTCTCTATTCAGTTTTTCAGAACCCTTCAGGCATATTTTAAGGGAAGAGGTCTTGATCTTGGGAGGTTTCCAAATACTTTCTCCATGAATGAGAATCCCAGACCCTTCTCTTTCCGGGCAGAACTTATTGCATCCGCATTTGCAGATTACGAAGAACAGAAAAACTCCCTTCTCAATTACCTCAAAGGCTGAAGTTTCTTCTGAGCGCAGGTAAAACTGATTGCTTTGTTCCCAGGATCTGTCCAAACATACAACTCAGTCATAAAGTCATAAAGAGATTTTGAAAGTATTTATTTGAGAAATGATTTTATTTCCTCATATAAATAAGTGCTCAGTTTTGATGATACTCATCGCTGTTAATATTCGGATTTGGTTCAGGTATTTTACGGTCTGTTTTTAAAAACAAATGACAGTTATGTTTTTTTAGCATAGTTTTCTGGGGAGAGATACATTAAAGTAGTCAAATTATCACTCTTAGTAGGATTATTAAATATAATGAAATACACACTTTTACCTGTATCTTTTTTCAGCTACGTTATGTGGAATAATGTAGCTAAGTTATGTGGAAATCATATATAAAGAAATATGTCAAATTGTGCAGTTGGATTACATGGAAAGTAAAAGTTAAAAGAATGGTTTTCTTTGGGAGAAAGTATTAAGCATATATTTGAGCTTAAACTTCCTCACCTAGAGAAAAAAGAAGTAGAATATTAGTAAAGATGGCATTTTTATCATAGAAAAAATAGAAATTTATTTATGTTTAAGATTTGAATTTTATTATTCTTATTACTTTAGCATTCCTATCAAATAAACACCTACCGTTTAGAAAGGAACAGGTATGGTGCATTCCAAGAAAATACATTATGATTCTCGTCTATTAGCTTTTTGTTCTGCTGAGTAATAAAGGGAAATGAATCATAATTAAAATCTACTCCCGGGCAGGCCCTGTGGCTTAGCGGTTAAGTGCGCTGCTCCACTACTGGCGGCCCAGTTCGGATCCCGGGTGCGCACCGACGCACCGCTTGTCCGGCCATGCTGAGGCCGAGTCCCACAGACAGCAACTAGAAGGATGTGCAGCTATGACACACAACTATCTACTGGGGCTTTGGGAGAAAAATAAATAAATAAAATTATTTAAAAAAAAACCCACTCCCATTCTTCCACAAGCATACGGATGAAATTGTGAGAAAGCATACAATTGTTGCACTTCATTATGTTTGTGAAGGGATTTTGATTATTAGTTCTTTTAAATGTGATGATTTTTTAAAAATAATGACTGTGATTCTAATAAGAAGATGCAATTTACCATGTGGCATATGCACTTGAAAACTGTCCTACGATGAGAAAATAAAATAGGATAAACAAAAGGATGTTAGTGAAGGGTTCCCTTGACTATTTTTCACACTTAGGCCCTAGGGTAGCAGACACTAAAACAGAGAATACTTGTTAACACCGCAGTACCTACTTCAGTATGAGACTGTATTGCATACAAGTTGCCTCTAATCCTTAGATTTTTCAACTATAAATTGCAGATACTAATCTCTAACTCATAGAAAGTGTCAGAGAAAACATTGAATACATACTTTCACGTGAGCATGGAATGAGGTCATGGGTATGGCGGGAAACAGAAAGCAGCCAGTTGGTGGTGTTGTAATGTAATGGGAATTATTCAACTTTGTGGAAGAAGGGCAGCTTCTGATTTGGAGAATATTTCATAATTACGAGCTCTCCTTTCCTAACATCTCTGATCAGAAAATGAAGACAAAAACATTTTTCAGTGAAATATGTTTATCTTTGGATCTTTGTGTTAACAGTGTGGTCTTCATTTTCTATTTCCTGATAACATTTTCTTGTTCTTTCAGGTGTCTGGCTATTTTAAAACTAGAGATGAAGCATCTCATTAGAAAAAGTCAACAATGGTCATGGCTAAACTTTTGTGTGTGTTTTCCCCCTCCATTTTTATTTGTCAGTTTGTAATGATTTTATTCAGCATTTCCAGATTTACATATAAATAGCTTGAGCTTTGGCACATATGTGACTTATGTGTGTATTTTTCGTGTTTTTTCCTCACTTTTTAACCATAAATATCGATGTAGAGCACTGCATATATTTGCAAGAGTTACAAAAACACCATAAAGTCCAAAGAAATGATGAGCTTCTGAATTGCTTCCTTTTAACCTTGTCTTGTATTTTTATTACCTTTTATCAATCAATATTTTCATTTGAAAGGAATGTTGCTCATTTTTACTTTAGTTTATTATATGTAACAGGGATTTGGGTTTAAAATTTGTCTTTTTCCTAAAAAAAGATGCATTCTCACTTTTAGCATATGCTATTGAAAGACCTCACAAGCTTAGTTTCATACACAGGGAAAGTGATAAATAGCCACAATTAAGTTGAAATGGAAAGCAAAGAAACATGAGATTCTAGGAGTTGCCAGGGTCCCTGGGAGATGTTCTTTGCCACTATGTCCAGAGGTGGACCTTGTGCTCCCAAGTATCCTAGCCATGCCTCAGCTCTGGCTCTCCCGCACACGACTTCCTCAAGAAAGGAGAGTAGAAATGGGTGGATTTTCTCCTTTTACAACCCACTCTTGCTGCCCACCCCAGCTTGGGCCAAATTATTCTGATTCTCATATTCTCTTTTGGAATAGCTACTTTTCCTGTATCTTTATGGAGAGCTGCATCATTTTCTCTGTGATTCCTGCAAAAGGAACATTGTACTAGGAGCAAACATCAGCGTCCTAATAACACTAGTCTGTACATTCCAAAATAGTTTCCTGTGGCTTTTTTGTGGATGATTGATACTGAATATCAACAATAAAATATTTATGTAAGAACAGATTCTGTGTCTAGTTTAATATGTTCTGTTGTCGTTAGTTGTGTGTGTGTGTGTGTGTGTGTGTGTGTGTGTTTTCCCTGGAGGGTTGGTAGGTCTCTGTGAGCAGAGATCATATCTAAGCCATTTTTCTTTCTCCAGCAACTAGCACAATGACTAGCATGTAGCAAGTGTTCAATAAATACTTGTTGGGTTGAGGTAAATGGGTGCCATTCTGCTATTATTCACAGTAATGGAAGATGCTTGTAGTTAATGTTAAGAATTTTTTTAAGCTTTTAAAAAATGTAATTATTAATCAGCTATTCCCCATAAAAAATATAGCTTATTCAGCTAAACAGTAGAGTGGTAGGGAGTGTTCCATCACTGTCCAGTTCCACTCAAATACAGTGCCTGGTTTTCATTTTCCTTTTCACCACCCTGCTCTAGAGTCAAGACCTTCACAAAGGGAATGCTTATAAGCTTCAGGGCCTTTGAAAAGGAAGGGCATCCACACGGGACTGTTAACTATGAGCTTGCAAAGTCTCAGGGCAGGGCCATGCATCCTTCTGCTGGAAAACTCCTCACAATTGGCAGGTGGCTTTTGATGGAAGGCCTACTCTCCACAGTGACTAGAGTTTCTTAAGGATGATGCTATTGGCAGTTGGGGAAGGACAAGTCTTCACTGTGTGTGATCATGTAGCACACCTGGTACCCAGACACCGTCTATTAGTAGTTTCCCCACCACTGCCCTATTATTTTGACGACCAACACCTCCCCACACACGTCTCTAACAGCCCACTGGGGAAGTGATCTTGCTCTTGGCTGAGAACCATTGCTAGGAAAACAGAAGTGTAGTGTTCCTCCAATGAAAATAAATGGTCTGCAGGTGATCTGGGCTCTCAAGGGATCCGTGGTACTTCTCTACATAGGTCCTTGACAGCCTCTCAGCACTGACTCTGCTCCTCTGATGAGGACCCCATTCCCCATCCCCAGGACATCGCCTCTTGTCCCCTATCCCAGACCTGGGGGGTCAAGAACCGTTAAGAATGTGAGGTTTTCCTCTCCTCGCCAGCTACACGCTAGCCTGTACAGCTTCACAGATCCTGGCAGACACCTGAGCCTCCCCGGGCCGGGATGGCAGACTCTATCACCCACGGCGCTGCGGGCAGCGCGAGTTTTACATTCACATTGGTTCTCCTCTTTCCCCAAGTATCATGGGGGCCACGTGGAGGTGGCTCCAGGTGTATGTAGTGCGCAAGTAAGTTTGTGCCAGAGCTGAGGAACCCCAAACTTAGGAAACCCCCACTCCTCTAAGGGAGCTACTAGGAAACATGGCCAACCTTTGCCCCAGGGGGAAATATTACTTTTGTTATACTCGTCAGAGAACAAATCTGCCCACTGCCCTGGAGGCAGACAATATCTCTGTCTTTCAAGGCTGTTTGTTCTGCAGACATCCTTGAAAAGACAGTTCAGAATGAAAGCTCTCACAAGCTTTTTCAGGAAAGTGAGAGAACTGTGGAAAAACTGTCTCCCCAAAAGGGTCACAGCCCTCTTCCCCTTGACAAGGAGAAAGGATGGAGTCATCTCTTCCTCGGGTACTCTTAATTCTATCGTCATGGCGCAAATGCAATGTTCTGTGTTCTTCAGACTTTCCATTTTGATACTCAGAAATCAGTCTGAAAGTCTGAAAAGTTTCTTCTTGCTATTTTCATTACTGCTGTAACAGTTCCACATCATCTCAGGGTAATGCGGACGCCTCTGACTCACCAGGGGACAAATCACTTAAAGTAAGTGGAGAAAAGAAAAACAGAAAGATTACAATGTCAGGATATGTTGCTACAATCTGACCATAAATGAACCTTCATGTCATCAACGTGTTCCATGGCGGAGAAACTATCCTTCCACCCCTTGCTCCCTGCTCCCGATTCTCCACATGAATCTATGTCTTCACAATTGGTATCGCCATATTCCAGGCAGCCAGTAATAAAACGAGCTGGTCTAAGCCATCTGGGTCTAGGACAGCGTTCTCCTTACCAGGTGATCTTCTTTCTCCCCTTTGAGTCCCTTCTTTTCCCCTAGGAGAGTTAGGACTAGACTCTTGAGTTCCTCTCAGATGGCACTCCCTGACTGTCTGGAGAAACTCAGGGGAGGGTTTTCCTATAAGTGATTTCTGAGGATTACCTTAATGCACCCCACCCCACTAACCCCCCATATTTTACACCCAGGTAGGGCCCTGAGGAGCCTTCGTCATGAGAAAGGGGATGACTTCTAGCTGTGAAATTTTTCTCTCACCTCAAGCCCGCCTCTTGCAGGTCCCGGCCCCTGGTTCTGCCATCCTACTGTTGCTTATCCTCACGGCGATTGTCTGCTGTCCTGAAGAGGCACCGATGGCCAGGTGATCGGCTCCCTGGAACTCGTCTCCAGCCTTAGTTGCGTATGGAGCTGCATTCCCCATACCTCAACTCCCTGGCCCATTCTCAAGGCACTTCCAGTTCCATCCAATTTAATTCATAAGTGTGTTTTGAGCACAGATTACTAGGCTACAGAGGAGAGTTCACAAAGGTGCATCAGGTAGTGCTGTTCTCAAGACGTTGACAGCTAGTGTCTCCAGAATCGAACAGCAGAGAAATAGAATACAAGGTAAAATATAAACCGCAGGAGGTGAAAAATAGTTCCACGGGGGCATGGGGTGGGGGCAGTATATCATATTAATTCCAAATATGGGATTTGGAGTCAGACCAGGATTCTAATCCTGGCCCTACTACTTATTAGGTACAGGACTTTGTCATTAAGGAATAACAACATCCATTTTTAAGGATTATTTTGAAATATGCATATGACAGCACATGGCCTATAGTAAACGGGCAACAGAGTTGGGTAACCATATCAAGCGTTTGATGCTTTCTAAAAGTTTGACCATTAAGAAAAGAAGAAAACTGGGCCGGCCCGTGGCTTACCAGTTAAGTGCCCGCACTCCGCTACTGGCGGCCTGGGTTCAGATCCCGGGCGCGCACCAACGCACTGCTTCTCTGGCCATGCTGAGGCCCCGTCCCACATACAGCAACTAGAAGGATGTGCAGCTATGACATACAACTATCTACTGGGGCTTTGGGGAGAACAAGGAGTAGGATTGGCAATAGATGTTAGCTCAGAGCCAGTCTTCCTCAGCAAAAAGAGGAGGATTAGCACGGATGTTAGCTCAGGGCTGATCTTCCTCACAAAAAAAAAAAAAGAAAACTTGGGTGGGAGTTAGAGGTGGAACATGAAGTCCAGATAAACCTATTTACAGACTGAGAAGGAGCCTGAGGAAAGGGCGAGTTTGAGGGTTGTGAAGACGGGAGAACAGATGGTGCCACTGATGGGAGGAGAGGAGATCTAGAGCGTAAACTGGGGCAGGACTCCAGCTTTCCGTGGCAGGGGAGACCCGGAAAGTGCAACATGCACGGGGGAGAGCAACCGGTTAAATTAAGAAAAAAAATCACTACAGCAAAGATCAACCTAATTTAAAGAACAAACATTCAGAAAAGGAAGTGGACAGGGAGTGAGAATCTTAGTGGAGAATTGAGGGAAATTATTTAGATGAAAGACAATTTCTTGAAAGCACGTTTCTTCTCAACTCACTAATAACGTCAGGCAGGAGGCCTGCGCAGGGCGGCGGGCGCGGGCCGGGCGCACCGAGGCTCCGCCCCCGGGAGGAGCCGGGCCAGAGGCTGCCGCGGAACCCGAGCGGGGCGGCTGCGGCGCAGGCCGGGCCCGTTTGCCGGGAGGACGCTGGTTCCTGCTCTCGGCGCTCCGGCGCGGAGTCAAGTGTGGGAGGCGCTGCTCTCCCCGGTTCTGTTGCGGTTCCTGCGGCTGCATATCCGGGCCTGCAGACATGTCGGGGTTCAGCCCCGAGCTCATCGACTACCTGGAGGGGAAGATCTCTTTCGAGGAGTTCGAAAGGCGGAGAGAAGAGAGAAAAACTCGCGAGAAGAAAGTGAGGAGACGCTGGGCCAGGACGCTCCTCACTGTGTCGTCGCCCTAGTGCACTTAGAGAGATGGGGGACCCGGGGGACCCCGTCCGCTGCCCTGGGGGCCGGGGCTCCCGGCACTTTCTTCCCCTTCTCACCGAAACCCCGCTTCTCGCCTCAGCCCTGGGCTAAGCTCGTCTGACAAACACTTCCCCACCGAGAGGCTTCTGTCCCCTGGGAACCGCTGCTCTGTGCCTTTTGCCAAACAGTGGATGTTACTGGAGGGCAGCTTAGCGCTGGCGGGTTAGATGGGGCAGCGGGGAGTGGAGCTGGGAGTGGGGCTATCTGCTTCGAGTCCTAGCTTTGCCCCTAAGTCGTCTTGTGGCTTTGGGCACCTCACCTCCCTTCTTCAGGCCTTCGTTTCTCTAGTTCTGAACCGAGGGGTTTGAGCTGCCATTTCTGCGGGGTCTGCCGATGGTGTGATGCTTTCTTCCACCAAACAAAAGAATTTTCTTGTCTGATAAAATCTTAACTCATACGTATTTTTTCATACTTAGGAAGAAATATCCGAACTTTCCGTATCTTCTCACTTATCTGAAGTCTGAGGGAAAATAAGAGAATTGCACCTTTTGAAATTAGCTGGTGGATTCTTTCCTAATTCACGTGACACACTGCCCCATCTATTTTCAATTAAAAAGCTAGGAGACGATGTAGATTACTGAAATCATCAAGATGTTATATATTATTTTTTACAAATGACTGATTCAGGCTGCAGAATGAGACCTAAGTTCTCTGAAACGCTTTGACAATATTGAAACTTAGATTCCACATGCTGTATACGTGCGCAGAGCTCAAGTTTTGTAGAAATAGAACATGAGGCAAATGCCCTGTTCTCAACTGGAGAGAGCTAAATCTGCGGTAGTTTTTCAATCATTAATTAATTTTCAATCCCAGAGTCTTCAGGAGAGAGGAAAGTTATCAGCAGAAGAAAATCCAAATGACCTTGAAGTTCCGTCATCCTCGGGAATTGACTCTTCAAAATCCCGGGAAGAAGATGTCAATGAAGGTATGTTAGATCATTTGCTACCTGCGTTAAATGTCACAACTACCTAATGTTTCAGTGAAAACATCTTTCCATTGCATTGATATTCTGTTGTTGATTACCTGGTTTATCAGGAGCATAGTGCTTGGTATATAATAGATGCTCAATAAATGTTGAGTTATTGAATATGGTGATGGTTGTTTTTGTGGGTTATTTTTGTGGAAAAGTGTTTAAAATTGACATCAGTATTTGTTTGGGAGCCTTTTTAGAGTCATTATTTTTATTTTTTTTTTTAAAGAAATTTTTTTTATTTTTTTATTTTTTTGAGGCGATCAGCCCTGTGCTAACATCTGCCAATCTTCCTCTTTTTTTGCTGAGGAAGACTGGCTCTGGGCTAACATCCGTGCCCATCTTTCTCCACTTTATATGGGATGCCGGTCACAGCATGGCTTGCCAAGCAGTGCGTCGGCATGCGCCTGGGATCCGAACCGGCGAACCCCGGGCCGCTGCAGCTGAGCACGCGTACTTAACCGCTTGCGCCACTGGCAGGCCCAGAGTCATTATTTTTTAAATTGGCCCTCTCAGTTGGTTACTAATTACTTCCAGACTATACTCCCTAAAATTGTAATGAATTATACTTCTATACAAAGTGGCTTCCAAACCACTGCTTTAGTTTAGGAGAAAAGGGAGAAATGTCAGAGTGGAAAGCCAGTTGACTGCCCAGATGGGACCTCACACCCAGCATGGTTATCTCCGCATGCCACCTCATTCCAAGATCCAGTCGTCAGCTCTGCATGTCCAGATATTAAATTTGGTTAGTGCACCCAACTAATTTAACTCATCAGAGCCTAATTTATGGACTGTGATGCAAATTTATTAATTTCCAGTGGTCTATATACCTTTTTAGTGATCAGAATATTGATAGTAGTTCATGGTATCCATTTACGCATATCAAGTTACCTGGGATGCTGAACTATCAATTAGAATGTAGCTTCGTGTGTGGGGTCTGATTGAGAACTAAATTAAACTTTCTAGTCCTAGCGGGTAGAAATAGAGGCTGATTCTTTTCCCTCTAAACAAATAAGGCTTTACACAGAGAAAACATAATAGGGTGGACAGAAAACAAATAAGCTTTATTCCTGCCACCTTGGACCAAGTGGGGAAGAAAAGGCGTAGAGGAGAGAAAATTGGGGTTACAGTTTCTTACCTTGCCAGGCAAGTGGGGTGGAAAAGGGGGCTGAAGTTGTTCTGACAACCTGTGGGTCCTTCCTTAGCTGCCGTGGGGAGGAGCAGCCCTTCCATCATCAGTGGTCTTTGAAGTGCCACTGTAGTAGCCGGCAGCACTGGCTGCCTGCCAGCCCTCTTGCCTAACGCTGCCCCTGAGGGGTGGCCAGCAGGCTCTACCTGAAAGAAGGGATTAATTGAATCCCATTCTGGCTCATCACGAGCAGCCAGGCGCACACGGACTAGATTGCCTCAGCTCAAACAATCCTATCAGTGCTTTTAAGGTATAAAAGCTCCCAATTTCTCAGAAAGGAATTGTGCCAAAACTTGACCAAGACCCTTGGTGAGTGTGAGCATATATTCAGAGCAGAAGAAGGGGTCAGTTTTGAACAGGCTTTGGTGAAGTCTGCTAATTAGAATATTTGGCCACTGGAGTCATTGTCTTTTCCCTCCTGTACATTGCAGAGAATACTACTGCTAATTCTTGTTCTTGAGCGCCTTTCCTACACACCATGCAAATAGGGCCTTCTTTTAATTTCATTTTCAGTTCATTGTTGCTGATAGAAAAACTACAATTAACTTTTGTATATTGACCTTATATCCAGGAACCCTGCTAAATTCATGTATTCTGACAGTTTGTATGTGGTTTCTTTTGGATCTTCTATGTACATAATCATGTCATCTGTGAATAATGACAATTTTATTTCTTCCTTGCCATCTTTATGCTTTTTATTTCTCTTCCCTTATCACATTAGCTAGGACCTCCAGTAAAATGTTGAGAAGAGTGGTGATAACAGGCACACTTGTCTCATTCCCAGTAACTTTGAATAATTCACCGTTAACTGGAAATTTTTTTGTAGATACTCTTTATCAGATTAAAGAGATTTCTTTCTATTTCTAGTTGACTAAGAATTTTTATTAGGAATGGGTGTTAGATTTTATCAAATTCTTCTCTGTAGCTATCAAGATGATCGTATGATTTTTCTCCTTTTTTTTCTGTTACTGTAATAAATTTTATTGATTGGTAGAGTTTTACTTTACACATTTCTTTTCTTATTTATTTTGGATGTTCAGAATTCTTAAAGATGATCACTATGACTTCATAATAATAATAATTACTTATTCGTTGCTCAGAAAGTGTGTTTTTTTAATTCTGTTCTTCATTAAACATGCTGTCTTAATTATCTAGCATCTTTGGGGTTTGAGGTATTTCACATAAGTGAATAAGCTTAAGGATTTTTGAACACAAACATATATATATATTTTTTAATTTTAACTGTTTTGTTGGAACTTTTCTAAAATATGTTACATGTCTCTGCTTTAAAAGAAAAATTGGCTTCTAAACTTAACCTTTTCTTGATCATTCAAGATCATCATACTATAGTGGTATCCTCAGATACAAATGAAGTATGTCATGTTATTTTGTTCCTGAAATAATAATACTATTTTAATATTAATAATAGCATTTATTAAGCTCTTACTTTATACTGGGCATTATTTTAAGCACATATATATAAAAACCCATCTCATCCTCAGAGTAGCCCTATAAGGCAGACGTTATTATTAACCCCTTTTTACAAATGAGGAAACTGAGGCACAGAGAGCTTCAGGGATTTGCCCAAGATCACACAGCTAGCGAGAGATGGAGATGAAGTTTGAAACCAGGCAGCTTGGCTCTAGAGGCCTCACCTTTAACCACCATGCTGTACCCTCTCGTTCTGTACCACGAGACTTTAATTCATAGGTCTGCGTCTTACAATTCTTTTATTTTTTTCCTCTCTGCTTTTAACTGTTGCTGTGTGTGCTTCTGATTTCCCACTTCATTTTACCTGTATGTCTGAGGCCTGAAGGATGAGTCTGCACCTCCTACAGAGTAATATACATGGCTTTATGACAGCTTTCTTCTTTGGGTTGTTTTTGGGACAGGTCATTTGTCAGTTTTTCACTTTCAAGTTTGGTATTGCTAGGGTAGAAATTTATATTCCAGAGAATATTGTTTTTTTTTCTTTCGACTACCAAGTGTTCTAAAGGTTTTTTCTTTGGTTGGTTTTTTTGCAACCTCAACATGTCTTTCTTCAGGAGAAACGTCGGATGGAGTCAGTAAGTCCGTTCACAAAGTCTTTGCTTCCATGCTTGGAGAGAATGAAGATGATGAGGAGGAAGAGGAGGAAGAAGAAGAGGAGGAGGAGGAGGAGGAGGAAGAAACACCTGAGCCACCCACTGCAGGCGATGTGTTTGTGCTGGAGATGGTTCTCAATCGTGAAACCAAGAAGATGATGAAAGTAAAGTGTTCCTTATTTTGGTATTTATAAACAGAATGTAAAAATGTGACATAGTAATTGAAAAAGAAATCTTTAAATTATACCTATATTCTGAAAGAATTCAAATTGTAAGAAAGGAAATACTATGAGACAACTGCTCTTACTGGTTTATGTTTCATTTTAGAGATTTTTTTAATGTAAAACCTTAATTATTGCATGTGTCAAAAGGTACTGTAGTTTTGCTATTAAAAGGTGCCCATTGTAACTTCATATTTTTTTAGCCAAGTTCATTCTGAGTAGATAAATTTGCAAAAAGGAGGATCTTCAGTAGATTACATCACAGTAAGTCTCCTGGCATCTAAATCCATTTTGCAGCATCCAGTCCTACATTTGTTATAATTCTAATGTAGTTTAGTAATTCCTGGCTACTTTGCTTTTTGCTTTCTTTATGTATTTTACTGTGCTTTGAACTTTCTACTGGAGGAAGTTTTTTTTTTTTTTCAATTTTCTGAAGTACTCCTTTTTGGCGAGTATCATAGAATAATTTCTGCTATTTTCTGCGGTTGAGTTTTAGACTTTTTCCTGAAATATAGACTTTAATGTTAATGAGTCAGTTATAATTACAGCCAAAGTCTTTAGTTCTGAACTTAAAAGATGGAAAAGTTTTAAAGAAAAATTTTAGTTTCATTATGGTCTGTATTTATTAATGTGATTGGAATTGAAATCTAAGACATTACTATATTTTAATCTAAATGTCTTATTTGTTCTGTACAGGAGAAAAGGCCTCGGAGTAAACTTCCCAGAGCTCTGAGAGGTCTCATGGGTGAAGCCAACATTCGCTTTGCTCGAGGAGAACGTGAAGAGGCAATATTGATGTGCATGGAAATCATAAGACAAGGTATTTTCTGTGGAATTATTGACAATAGTAGTTTAGTAGTCTGACTTTTAAAAATGGAGGAGCACTTCACTGTACTGTTTGGAAAATATATTCAGAAGCTTGGAGTTGATTGTGATAACAGTGATTTGCCACTTCACGTTGAGTAGAAGTCATTACCAAGAAAATGAAAATCACAGAGTATGAGTCAATGAAATATCATTAATATTTATTGTACTCTTACAGGTTTAATTCTTGTTTTTATTTGTTTGTTTTTTAATGTTTCATCTTAGGGGTTTTAGGCTTTTGTAGTCTTAGTCTTTTATAAAGATGGCAAACACGTTATGTTAAAATCACTTGAAGCGAGAGTGGTCTTTTTTTCTTCCGTTTTCCAGATCAGACTGTGCTAGATTATTTTAATCTACTTTTTGATGAAAGACACAGTTTATACCTGTCATCTTCGATTAAACTGCAGGTCTTGGCATATTGAAGGATATCTTCAGAGGTGATTTTTTAACTAATTCCTTGTGTTTAATATTTTGCTTTCCTGATGTGTTGCCAAATGATGCCCTGCATAGTGGCTTGAATAGTTGTGATATAGTGAACTTTTAATTTATCTTTTCAATATTTTGGCATTTCTTTTTATTTAGAGTAGGGTCCTTTTAGAAGTCTTGTTATAAGTTTCCTGGATGATTTATTAGGATAATTTGGGGTCACTGCTTTTTCTTTATTACTCCATCAAAAATAAGTTTAACTAAACTTTTTCCTTCAGGATATTTTGTATGGTTCCTACTTTCTGATATTATCTATTCCTTTATTTCAGTTTGTTTTTGCCAGTTGTCTTTGATTTTAATCCCTTATAATCTTAGAACTTCATTTCAGAAACACTATTTCAGAAATGCAGATTAACCATTCACTTTGATATCTTGGGTTTAGGGGCTGCTTAGGTATCCTCTATTCATTCATCCCATACTCCTTGGTGTGGGAGCCAGATCATGAACATTCAACTGCACTGATGTGGCTGATGCTCATTGGGATGAACTTGCTGAGTTATTGAGCCATGTTTACCTTTAGCAGAGGGGGATTTTCATGATGGGGGCATGGTGGAGAGTAGGGTTTTTCATGAAACTACACTTTGCTTAGAGAAACGTATGGTTTAAAAATGCCAAAAATGGGGGCCGGCCCCGTGGCATAGCAGTTAAGTGCGCACGCTCTGCTGCTGGCGACCTGGCTTTGGATCCTGGGCGTGCACCGGTGCACCGCTTGTCAGGCCATGCTGTGGCGGCATCCCATATAAAGTGGAGGAAGATGGGCACAGATGTTAGCCCAGGGCCGGTCTTCCTCAGCAAAAAAAAAAAAGAGGAGGATTGGCAGATGTTAGCTCAGGGCTGATCTTCCTCACCAAAAAAAAAAAGGCCAAAAATGTATGAAAATAAAATAAAGCAAATATAATCTAATGTTTATTCTAAATTCCATTAAGTAGTTTGTGTAATTCTGCTAGAGATAGTTAAAGAGTTTAAGTATTAAAAAAAGGATTCATAATTTGAACCATGGGATTGACTCAAGCTCAAGCCTCATCCCTCAGCAAATGGACTTTGTTTTTTTAAATCTTTTTAGCTCCTCTTGCTTATGAGCCATTCTCTACGCTTGCCATGATATATGAGGACCAAGGTGACATGGAGAAATCACTGCAGTTTGAGTTGATTGCTGCACATTTAAATCCCAGTGACACTGAAGAATGGGTTAGATTGGCAGAAATGTCTCTGGAACAAGACAACATTAAGCAGGCTATTTTTTGCTACACAAAAGGTAATTAAAATGTTTTTTTCATTTTATTTGATAAAATGTTACATAGTAGGTTTTTTGATAATTGTACTTGCTACTCTGAGGTGAGATAATTGTACTTGCTACTCTGAGGTGACATTAGCTGTAATGTATTTATTTCTTATATTCTATTAAATCAGAGGTAAGTATTTGGGACCCCTCTGTTTTCATGTTTATCAGTAACTTTATTTATACTGTGAGCTAATATACCACAAAAGTTGGTAGAAGAACAGTACCTTCAGTTTCCACCAAGATCAATGTTGGTTCTAAGCTGTTCCTTGAGGGTTAATATCAGACTAGGGTGATCAAATGAAGATGAGTATGGAGATTCAGGTTCTATCTGGTCTTAGGTCAGACCTAGTCAAGAGTTCCTGTGAAGGTAGATTTATTCCAAAATAACCTGCTTGGTTCCATTGGAGAATTTGTTTAGAGTGTTTATTAAATTTTGTGAAAAGAGGATGGGTCACACCCACATACCATGAACCCCTTTTTCTGATAAATCTATAATTTATATTCTTTTTTTCTTTTTAGCTCTTAAATATGAACCTACTAATGTCCGTTATCTGTGGGAGCGATCAAGCCTTTATGAACAGATGGGAGATCATAAGATGGCAATGGATGGTTATAGGCGTATTTTAAACCTCTTGTCTCCGTCTGATGGAGAACGATTTATGCAATTGACTAGAGATATGGCTAAGTAAGTTTGGAATGAAATATATTTAAATGCTCTTATTAATTGTCTTATTTTAGAAATCAAAGCACGTATTTGAGGTAGAATATACTTTTTATTGAGGTTCAAGGAATTATTTTGCTTCCTGTATTTTATATTGTGCTTAAATTTAGAGTTGGGTTTTTCTTTTCAGTACTTTTCTGTTTCTCAGTCAACTGTGTGATTGCTTAGAAAAATTTGTATATACAATTACCTTTCAAGTGCTCAGAACCTTAAAAATGGAGCATGTTCTGAAAGGTTGACTAGGTTCCCGGTTTCTGTAACTTAGTTGAAATTTTGTACATTTGTAGTAATATTATTTTAAATTATTTATTGCAAACGTGCTAATGAAATGTTCGTCATCTAAGATCTTCTGTAATCATTTTATCTAGAGTCAGTACTAGAATAACATTTTAAGATGAAAAATTTTCTTTATAGTTGGCACATGCTACTGACTGTGGTATATATTTTATTCTAAAATAATGTACCCAACTGCATTTATTTCTCTGATGTGCTGTACAGCAAAACAAAGCAAGAAACATTCTGGGCCTGAAATGTCTTGTGGTATGCTTTCTGTTCTAGGGTTGTCTATTATTATAGTATTTCAGCCGAGGAGTAACCATCTAAATCTGGGTATTTTAGGGTTAACCCTGTTAATTCCGTGGCCATTGTCATGAAGATGCTTAGGTGTGAAATCACCCCCTATGCTTAAGGATGGGCTATGTAGGAATACTGGAAGCATTTTTAGGAAGTTTGAGGCAAGGCAACCCTAAATTGATCCCTGATGCATACAATAAGCATTGAGGATCTTCCCAGGTTATTTGCTGTTGTTAGTCAACTCTCTAGCTATCATAATGGTTAGCCAAATAGGCTTCTACTCTGTGAACTATTAGATGGCCTATGATAGTAAATGTGTTTTCCACTTGTATTATTTATAATCTTTTTGTTTGGGAAAGATTGGTGATGAACGGTTCTGCCACTGCCAAAGAGGTCTTTCCTACATAGAATTCTGTTACTACAACTTCTGATTGATTAGGCTTTCTCTTGGTCCCTACTTTCCTTCCAGAAATATTTATTGAATATAAATTATGTGCTCGGCACTGTGCAAGGCACCAGGAGATCCAGTATTGAAGGAATTTTAAAATTCCCTGCCCTTGTGGAGCTTACATTCTAGTTGGGGGAGACAGGAAATAAGCAAATAAACAACTAAATATATAGTATACCAGATGTTGATAAGTGATGTGAAGAAAAATGAAACAAGGGAGGAGGATAGGAAGTAGAAGAATAGGAGTGTGTTATTTTCAACAGGGTGACCAGAGAAGGACGTCATTCCTTATGTTATGGTCATGCTGACCTGAAAGTGACTGAAGGAGATGTGGGAGCAGATATTAGGGAAGAGTATCGCAGGCAAAGGGAATGGCAGTGCAGAGTTATGCTCAGGAGACGGAGCAGGGGGTAATGTCAGAGAGGTAGCGGAAAAGATCCCTCGGCCGGCCCATGTGGGCCAGTGTAAGGCTTTGGCTTTTACTCTGAATGAGTTTGGAGGCCACTGGATGGTTTTAAGTAGCAAAATGACATGATCTGACTTAAACTTTAAAGGCATCAATTCTAGCTGCTCTTTTGAGAAGAGATTAAGGAATGGTGGGGGCAGAAGCAGAGAGAACAGTTAGGAAAGTTTGTGATAATCCATGGAAGGGATAACGGTAGCTTGGACCAGGGTAAAAGCAGCAGGAGGTGGTGAGCAGTAGTCAGATTCTGGGTGTATTTCAAAGGCTGAACTTTCAAGATTTTCTGATGTATTGGATATGAGGTGGAGTGTGTGTGTATACAAGTGTGTGTGTGAGAGAGACAGAGAGAGACAAGAAGGGGAGAGTTCTGAGGACTAAACCCTGAAGCACTACAGTGTTTAGAAGTCAGGAAGATGAGCAGGAAACGGCAGGGAGATGGAAAGGAAATGGGCAGTGAAGGAGGAGGAGACTCACAGAACATGATATTTGAGAGTTTTATTGACGGAAGCACTTTGAGGAGGAGGGATGATCATCTGTGTGAAATACTGCAGATAGATTACGTAAAATGAGGACTGAGTATTGACATTGGAGATGGGGGTCTTGAGGGATAGGCAACTTTTTGGAGAAATTTATAAGGGGAGCAGAAGAATGGGGAGGTAATTGGAATGGATTGTAGGGGTAAGAGATAATTTTTAAATTGGGAAAAATTAGAGTGTATTTATACTTAGAGGGGAATGGTCCACAACTGAGGGACATACTGAAGATTCATGAGAGAAAGGACAATTGCTTGAGTGATGTTTTTGAGTAGGTTGGAGGGACTGGGATCTACTGGGGGGTTGGCCTTATGATAAAAGGAGAAGGCAGAAGATATGGCTGTGGGTATAGGTAAGTTGGTAGATGTGTTGGGAATATGTGGGATGTCTGATTTGATTCTCTTTGTAAAATAAGAAGCAAGGTCATCAGCTGAGAGTGAGGATGGGAGAGTGTTGGAGGTTTGGAGGGAAGATGTGAAATAGTTGTCTAGGTCCTTGGGACCTTGCTACCCCACAGACCAGCAGCATTTTCATCACCTGGGAGCTTGTCACAAATGTAGAATCTCAACCCTGCCCCAGCACTACTGGATCAGAATATGCCTTTTTATAAGCTTCCCAGATGATTTGTATGCACATTCAAGTTTGAAAAGTACTGGACTAGGTAACCAGTAAGATTGCTGATCAGCACCTGGGCCATCTTGAGGCTGGTGGGCATTAATTTAGAGTGAATCCAGTCAGCATGGTCAGCTGGGCAGCTGATGGTGAAGAGTAGGCGTATTTGGATTAACCAGGGTTGAAGTTTTATCTGATGATTTTGATAAAGGCAGAGAAGGGCAGGAGAATTGAGGAGATGTGCAAGGGAGTAATTATAATGTTGGACCATGGAGAAGGGCAAAGTGAGGACAGGAGGGGTGCAGAGACAGTGAATAAGTGGTAGGATCAATGCTTTGTAGAACCCATTGAGGTAGTGAGGCATTGTTGGTATTGGGTTACAGGGGGAATGAACTGGAATGATATGAGGCAGCTTTGGGAGAAGGAGATGCTTGACATTAAGACATCGTTATACTGAGGTTGCACATTTTTCTCATTGATCAGCACTGATTATGATTTTATTTTTTTTTATTTTTTTTTTTTAAGATTTTATTTATTCAGTTTTTTCCCCCCAAAGCCCCAGTAGATAGTTGTACGTCATAGGTTCACATCCTTCCAGTTGCTGTACGTGGGACTCGGCCTCGCGTTGGAGGGAGAAGTGGTGCCTCGAGGCGCCTCCCGGGATCCGAACCCGGGCCGCCAGCATCAGAGCGCGCGCACTTAACCGCTAAACCACGGAGCCGGCCCTGATTATGATTTTAAAGAAGAGTGTTTTTCTCCTCCCAAATGTCAAGAAAATGAAAATCATAATTAATAGTTAGAGGGCCTAAGCAAGGAAATGAATTTTATATTCTGAATTAAATAAGCAGTCATCCATTTTGCCATTTATTTTTTTAGGAGTTACTATGAAGCCAATGATGTTACTTCAGCTATTAACATAATTGAAGAAGCTTTCTCGAAACACCAAGGCCTAGTCTCTATGGAAGATGTTAACATAGCAGCTGAACTACACATTTCTAACAAACAGTATGACAAAGCTTTGGAGGTAGGAACACTTAAGTGTTTCTCGGTTAGGTTTTGAACACATTTCTGTGTTCTAGAAATTCTTACAAATTGACAGTTCCTCATTTTAGTTATATATATTACTTATGTTCTAAATTATGTATTTAAAGTCTGTATGGAAACAGATTTCTAGATTCTTTTTTTTTTAAAGATTTTATTTATTTATTTTTCCCCCAAAGCCCCAGTACATAGTTGTGTGTCATAGCTGCACATCCTTCTAGTTGCTGTATGTGGGACGCAGCCTCAGCATGGCTGGAGGAGCGGTGCCTCGGTGCGCACCCGGGATCCGAACCCGGGCCGCCGGCAGCGGAGAGCACGCACTTAACCGCTAAGCCACGGGGCTGGCCCTAGATTTCTAGATTCTATAGTAATTCCATATGAAATATAAAATGTAGTCATCATATGATAAAAGCTATTGCCATTATCACAGGTGCCAGGTATGTCTGTACTTCAGGGTAGCAGGACTCAGCAGCCAGACTAATTGCTGTGATTCAGTTGTTAATCTGTTTGGAAAAGTAGATTGGTTTGTTACAGAGGAATTATATATCTTCAGTTAAGCATTTATTAACATGATATAAAAATGTTAATGTATCACAGTGGTTTCTTATTTTAAAGAGATTTACTGTTGCTTTTTATAGCCCGTTTGTATGTTGTAAGGATTATTTGAATTAACTGTACAAATCTTTGCATTGTGAAAAGGTTTTTCACACATACCTATTGTATTATTTCCTTTTTTTGTCCCCATTCTTTTAGGTAATTACGGATTTTTCTGGAATCGTGCTAGAAAAAAAAACTACAGAAGAAGGCACTCCAGAAGAGAATAAAGGTTATAGTTTCCTCTGCATAGGAAAGAGTGTATAATCCTCTCTTGTTCATAATGTGGCATTTTGAAATTGATAGTTAATGTTCTCATAACAAGTTTTCCCAAGAAGCATTGTTTCCTAAGAATGATTTCACTTTTTCTTGTGAGTATTCACTCACGGGTAATCTTTAAAAAAAAATTGTTTTCAGTTCTTTTTATTTCTCAATATGTCCATTTAAACATGGCATTTCTCATTGACTCAGAGTCTTTTTGGTTCTATGTGAATGGATTTGGTTCTAAAGAATGGATTACTGAACAGCTTATCAAAAGCCTTTAGAACTAAAGCAATTTACTTTTCAAAAAACACTTAAAATGCTCTGTACTAATTTCCTTCAAACTTAAGCATTGAAAAAATTCTACTTCTGGAACTGGCCCGGTGGCATAGCGTTTAAGCTTGCATGTTCTGCTTCAGTGGCCCAGGGTTCGCTGGTTTGGATCCTGCACACGGACCTACTCACCGCTCATCAAGCCATGCTGGCATCGTCCCATATAGAAGAGCTACAAATCTATGACTATGATACACAACTATGTACTGGGGCTTTGGGGAGGAAAAAAAGAAGAAAAAGAGGAAGATTGGCAATAGATGTTAGCGCAGGGCCAATCTTCCTCAAAAAAAAAAATTCTACTTCAAACTTAAGCATTCACATAAAATGCTACTTCAAACTCAAGCACAGAATTATTTTTTATCCCTTTCTCAGCCTCTTTGTAGTAAAGACAAAAAAGACTTGAATTCAAGAAGAAAAAAGAGAGTTCATATGTCCTTGTCCTTTTAGTTCTTTGTAGTTTTGATAGACAGTGTGGGAGTTTATATAGGTTTTGGATAAGTGGATAAGGTATTAGGAAAAGAATAGGAAGGATAATTGCTACCAAAGGACAGACTAAGGACGTATAAGAACCTAGTACTAGAGTTGGCCAAACTTAGACTTGACTATCAAATTGTTTGCTTTGAATGAAGTAAATGAGATCTTACATAGAAGGTACAGTTGGCTTCATTTGCTGCACATTCTAAGCTTGCATGTAGGAGTTACTTTTTGTCTCTCTAATCCACAGCAGGTGAGAATGTTACCTGCACTATACCTGATGGTGTGCCAATAGATATCATGGTGAAGTTGATGGTCTGCCTTGTACATCTCAGCATCCTCGAACCACTAAATGTAAGTAACATCAAGATCTGTACTTGAGATACTTCAGATCAAATCCACACTGTTTCCATTAGATGATAAATTTTAAGTTGACCCTAGATTTCACATTTCTTAATAATGAGGAACTGACCATAAGCATCAACTTTATTTTTGTGTGATTGTCTTATAATAGGTAAAATTGTTTTGGAACTGGATTTATAATAATTTGTTTTTCTTTTAAAATGAGAACAGTCCAGAGATCAGAATTTGAGATTGGGCCTTTAGACAATTGGTAATTTTTGACAGCTGTTCTCTTTTGCTGACCTGAGATTAAGTATTTCATTGAATAAAAACATATACTGGACATCTGTGTTGCCGACTTAGGATAATGTTTTTTTTTTTTTTTTTTGTGAGGAAGATCAGCCCTGAGCTAACATCCGTGCTAATCCTCCTCTTTTTGCTGAGGAAGACCCACTCTGAGCTAACATCCATTGCCAATCCTCCTCCTTTTTTTATCCCCAAAGCCCCAGTAGATAGTTGCATGTCATAGTTGCACATCCTTCTAGTTGCTGTATGTGGGACGCGGCCTCAGCACGGCGGGAGAAGCAGTGCGTCAGTGCGTGCCCGGGATCCGAACCCCGGCCGCAAGTAGCAGAGCACGTACACTTAACCGCTAAGCCACGGAGCCGGCCCAAGGGTAATGTATTGAATAAAACATACAAATTCCCGCCCTCGTGGATCTTTTGTTCTAATGGGATTAGATAGATAATAAATAAATACATAAAATATAGGATGTTAGTTGGTGATAAGTGCTCTGGAGAAAAATCAAACAGCGAAAAATAGGGAATATTGGGGATGGGAGGAGTTGCAGTTTTAAATAGGGTGATCAGGAAAGGCCTCCCTGAGAAGTGACATTTGGATAATGACTTGAAGGAAGTGGGGAAGTAAGCCACGTGGATATCTGAGGGAGCAGCTTTCCAGAAACATCGGCAAACACAGAAGCCCTGAGGCATGGGGATGTTTGACTGGTTAGAAGAGAGCACAGCAGATCAGTGTTGTCTTAACTCCTGCAATGCCTGCCTTAGAACAGGCCTTCAAAAATAGTGTGTTGACCCCTGTGGCGGCCCGGGTTTGCTTCCCGGTCACAGAACCACACCACCCATCTGTCGGTTGCCATTCTGGTGGCGGCTCACATAGAACTGGAAGGACCTAGAACTAGGATATACCACTATGTACTGGGCTTTGAGGAGGGGAAAAAAAAGAGTAAGATGGGCAACAGATCTCAGCTCAGAGCGAATCTTTCCCTGCAAAAACAAAAAAAGGAAAATACTGACATATTTGATGGAATGACAATTTAAAATTTAAAAAAGTAGTGTGTTAAATGAGTGAATGATGACAGTATGAGTTCTTTTTAATAGAGATATAGAAACGAATAGAAAAATGATTATTTAAAGCTGTTTTTATTAAGCCTTGCTCCTTTTAGGTTTGCCTCAGATAACTGATTTGTTAAAAAGAGAAATATACATAGATAAGCATATTTGTAATGAACGTTTGACTTCAAGCTTTTATTTTGGGCTCTAGCCTCTCTTGACAACACTAGTGGAACAGAATCCTGAAGATATGGGAGACCTCTATCTAGATGTTGCTGAAGCGTTTCTGGATGTTGGTGAATATAATTCTGCACTTCCCCTCCTTAGTGCGCTGGTCTGCTCGGAAAGATACAACCTCGCAGTAGTTTGGCTTCGGCATGCAGGTAATACGTTTTTGTGGGAAGGAGAAGTTTTAATCATATAAGCAGGCAAGAAATTACTTTCCCAAGGTGGTAATAATTATTATAAAATATTAATGTCTTGGGCCGGCCCTGTGGCTTAGCGGTGAAGTGCACGCGCTCCACTGCTGGCAGCCTGGGTTCGGATCCTGGGCGCGCACCGGCGCACCGCTTCTCTGGCCATGCTGGGGCCACGTCCCACATACAGCAACTGGAAGGACGTGCGGCTATGACATGCAACTATTTGCTGGGGCTTTGGGGGGAAAAAATAAATAAATAAAATTAAATTAAAAAAATTAAAATATTAATGTCTTAGTGAAAATATTTCTGGTTTCAGGGCAGTTTTTTGAAAGTCAGTATTTTAAATTGTCTTGGTATATCACTAAGTGGTTTCCCCTCACCAAGGCTTTGGAAGAATGATTCCCCTAATAGTACCACAGTGAAGGAGAAGGACTAACATGTCCCTGTTAAAATACCTTAAATACCTGTCTTTTACCTGTCTTAACCATAGGCTCTGGCTTCTAGTAATAGCTTGTCAGACTTGGGGTACAATCTAATTTTTGAAGAGTTTTTATGGGTTTATATTTATTATTTTGAGAAAACAATTAATGTATTTTCAGTGTTCTTTGAGCCACAAATATGCTCAAGATTGGGTTTTATGTATCATTTTATTTCATTTTATCTAAATCCACAGTAATCTGAAATAAATCATTTACAGTAGGAAAAATAGCTTAAGAAAAAAACTAAATCTCTTAAAGAAATTTATGAAAGCTAAAAATATTCTAATAGGATTTCCTATTCACATAAAAGCATTAAAATTTGAATAGTCTTTGCTTAAAATAGTGTATGATGGCAGAAAGTTCTAATATTTTCTTAAAATATTACGTAATGGCAGAAAGTTCTCTCTAGAGAAGCATTAATTGACATTTTGGGATATTTTGAGACAGATTACAGATATGAAATGGCAAAGAAAGCACTTATTGATTAAGATTGCACTTTACTGTTTGGATGAGTGGACATGCATACAAATGTAATACCATCATAAGAAGTTACATTATTTGTGGTATTTGAATTTTAAAGATATGAGCAAGGAGCCTGAGTTTTATTGCCTTCCTAAGGCTGTGATACTGAAACTGCTCCTGTCGTTAATAGTACTTTACAAATCCTCTTTGATTATGATCATGATGCTGATAAATGCTGTTTCCATTTTAAGCCTCTGTAGCTTGAGATGAGTAGAAGGTAAAATCTCAGAATGATCTAAAAATCATAAAGAACTTTGGGGTCAGTATATAAGAAAGATCATTAGAGGAATCGAATGCTTGTAGCATAATAACAAAATATCTTTGAAAGTGAAAAATGACAAATTATGAGAAATGCCTTCATCACGATCCATCCCTATTTAGTAGTCTTTCTTTATTATTGAAGTTTAACCTGAAGGTGATGGTCAGGAGAGATTTGAGAAACTGGAGATTTGAGAAAGCAATTGGAAGCAAAATACCATTTTAGGAGATAATTGCGGTGAAAAAGGAAAGAGATGAAAAGGGCCTACATTAGTGTTGTGGCTGTTAGAGTGGAAAGAAGAAATGCTTATGGGGATGTGTTTTCAAGTTCAAATGATAGGACTTAGTGATTGATTGGCATAAAGTTTGAGGATAGGGCCCAGTAACCTCACTTCTGAGAACTTAACCCGAGGAAATAATTGAGTGAGGAGAGGGGAGGTAGTTTATACTGGGGATCACAAAACTCAGGAGCCTGGCAGGTTAACAAAAATGAGTAAAGTAGGCGGGTGAGAAGACTGGGCCGGAGTGAGAACTGGAGGCCATGTTTCTCACATGGGCCCATGTGCCATGTGGGAGTGGGGGGCCCACTGTCGCCAGATCCAGATTTTTCAAAAGAATCCAGTAATTTGGATTTCATAAAAATCCTAATTTTTAAAATTGTAGACGCTTTATTGTTTTTAACAGCACTGTGGCCTAACAAAACACATCTGTAGGTTAAATTGGTCTGCCAATTTGTGAACTCTGGCTTATATAAATGAAGATGTTTACTGTGGTGTTATTTATTAGAGTAAAAATTTGGAAATAACCTAAATGTCAAATAATATGGTTAAGTAAATAATCAATTTAATTGAATATTATAACCATTCAAAATGCCAGTGAAGACATGGGAAAATGTTGAATGAATAATGCTAAGTGAGTAAAGCAGAGCCCCATATTATATGTATATGCTGATCACATCCTTGTAGCAATTTGAATTTAGTTAGAGAAATTGATAGATTGATCAATAGATAGAGATTAGAAGGGATAGTTGTTTTAAAGTGCTAGAAATATGCATACATTTCTTTCCTGTTGTAATTTTTTTTATATTGCTATAATATTTCTTTTAAAATGGAGAAATAATTTTGGCCAGCTTACAAATCTGTAGTTCACGTTTATGCTTTATTTTAACGTCGTCTTAGAATGTTTAAAGGCCTTAGGCTATATGGAGCGTGCTGCCGAGAGCTATGGCAAAGTGGTTGATCTGGCTCCCCTCCATCTGGATGCAAGGATTTCACTTTCCACCCTTCAGCAGCAGCTGGGCCGTCCTGAGAAAGCTCTGGAAGCTCTGGAACCAATGTATGATCCAGATACTTTAGCACAAGATGCAAATGCTGCACAGCAGGTAGGTCATGTAACGTAGAAGGAAGTTTTTCTTGGTGGATTATATTTTAGAACTTCCTCCTCAGTTAAGGATGTCTCTACAGCTTATATCCAAAAGTTTTAGTGTATTAAATTCAGTGTTTTTGAAAAATGATTGGGTCTTACGTTTCAGCAACTCATTAGGCATTGTAAATTATGGTTTCTAAAATACTGGATCTTAATTATTGTGAAAGATCATAAAGCAAATGTTCTTAAGGTTTGGTTTCTAAGACAAAACTTTTCTGTGCAAACAAAAAACTTATAGCAAAGGCTTTCTGTCATACTCAGTATCGTGTGCTTATTTGTTTAGGAGCTGAAGTTACTGCTGCATCGTTCTACTCTGTTGTTTTCACAAGGCAAAATGTATGGTTACGTGGATGCCCTACTTACCATGTTAGCCATGCTTTTAAAGGTGGGTAATGATCTTTCTTGATAGTTGCCTTGTTCACTTTTTAAATGTTTAGAACTTGATTTAAATATCGACTATAGCTATTTTATAACTCTGTTTTACCTTGTTAAACTTTTTAAAGTGAAAGTCAGATAAAGACAAAAGACTTAGAGATTAATGGTAGGTAATTGAAAGTTCTACATGAAAGTGTAAATTTGACTGTAGATTAAGTGAAATAAAATCCTTGCTAGTACATATTTAGAAAAGTGAGAACCATAGTATTATCAATTGTTGGCTCTTTAGACACTACTGTGTGCCAAAATTGTTCACTTTGCAAAAATATTTTCCAGATACTGACATCTTTTCTGAGTCTGGCTTTTTTACAGGGAGGTAGGGTGTGTGTGTGTGTGTGTGTGTGTGTGTGTGTGTGTATTGGTGTAAAGTTAATGTGAATTGCCTTCTTTTTCCCTACTGAGTAGTGTGGCCCAAATTCCTTTGGTAAGAAAAAAACAAGTCTATTTGTTTTCTTTTAGGTGTTTTTATACACAATAATTTGTTCTCTTTTTCCCCTCACTCAAGAAGCTTTCAGGCACACCTGTGGTACTTGTTTCCCATAGATTCTCTTGAAAAAATTATGACTAAAAATTCTCAAATGATTATCTTTAATTCAGGTAGCAATGAATAGAGCCCAAGTCTGTTTGATATCCAGCTCCAAATCTGGAGAGAGGCATCTCTACCTTATTAAAGTGTCAAGAGACAAAATATCAGACAGCAGTGACCAAGAGACAGCAAATTATGATGCAAAAGGTAATTACTTTCATTTGCTTTATTATGTAAAACTTGACTTAGTTGAAAAAAGACTCATGAAGTATCACTTGATAGTAATCTAACTGAAAATATACGCTTTTCAAATAAAATTATATTTTCTAATCGAAATCCCTCAAGTATAATAAATTCATTTGGTGTTTAAAAAGAAAGAAGGCTATATGTAAATACTTTAATTTTAAAAAATTAAAAGGAAAGCGTTTGTTTGGATCTGTCTGTGAAAAAACTAAAACAAATCTTTTTATTTTGACATTTTAAGAAGAAAATATACCCTATTTTAAGAAATTTGTGATGATAAGATGGCAATACAGATTACTTTAATTGTGCAGTCACTTCAGTTACACATATTTCATTCTCTGTTATATTCATTTTTGATAAATGTAGCAATAGTCATAGAAAGTGAAAATAAGTTGCTTTGATCCAGTTTCAAGTAATATGACTTTAAAAGGACCTATTTTGGGCCGGCCCCGTGGCCTAGCGGTTAAGTGCGCGCGCTCCGCTACTGGCGGCCTGGGTTCGGATCCCGAGCGCGCACCGACACACCACTTCTCTGGCCATGCTGAGGCCGCGTCCCACATACAGCAACTAGAAGGATGTGCAGCTATGACATACAACTATCTACTGGGGCTTTGGGGGAAAATAAATAAATAAAAATTAAAAGGACCTATTTTTAGCTGGAAAAGCATCAAGTGTATTTGGGTGAGGTTGTTACTCAGAGAACTTTGGAAAAGACCTAGACATGTAAACTGGAGATATCAATCTGGCAGAAGATGATTTCATTGTTAATTAATTCAGCAGACATTTATTAAATCACTGTTACAGGTGTGGCAGTGCGCGGTGGACAGGGTTTTAGAATCTGGAAGAGCTGAATCTCTGTCAGCACAGTACAAGAACATAAGATAGGCAAGGTGTTGCAGGGGAACAAGTCAGAGGAAAGGAGCAAGGGTTGGGTGCTCCTAATCTGGCTATAATTGCCTCAGAGCCCGGCCATCTCTCCAGGGCATGGATTCTGGGCTTATCACAACGGCTTCTGCCTCTGCAGCAGGTATTTTGGGCTATGCTTCCTTAAGTTATATTTTTCACTGTATCTGATCCTGCTTGTTTTCTCTCTCAGTATTTCCTCATTTCAAGTCCATTGTTGCTTTTTCTTAGGCTCATCAGGTTTTTGTTGTTTTCTTTTGTGAGTTAATTTCATCGTGGTGGGAATCACGTTATACTGGGGCATCAGGTGGGATAAGCTAGGCCTCTTCATGTTATATGCATCTTTGTACTCTGCTTTTTTCACTTAACATTTTCCCACAGACATTTTCTCATGTTGCTCTGTTCTCTTTGTAGCTATTATATTTAAGGAATGTGTAATATTCCATTGGCTAACAGTTCCATAATTTATTTAATCGTTCTCTTATTATTTTTTGATTATATGGTTGTTTCCGATGATTTTCTTTTATAAATAATCCTGTAGTGAGCATCTTCATGCCTATAGCTGTATCCATATTTTTGACTGGTTGTTTAGGATAGATTCCCAGAAAGAGAATTACTGGGTCAAAGGCAGTAAAAATTTTTATGGCTTTTGATATTTCAGAAGGGCTACAAAAGGAAGGCTTCTTACAGACAAATAAGGAAGAGAAGATTGTTGACGGAAAAGAGAAATTTTGAGGCAGAGAAAAGATAATTGAGATTATGAAAAGATCAGGAAGAGTCTGAAATTTAAAGTATGAATTTTAAGTCCTTTGCTGAGTGATCATTTGAATGCCTTGTATGTGCAGAATCCCGTGTGTGACCTCAGTTATGAAAAGCACACTTGTTCTTCCCTGGAGGAGCATGTATCCTACTAGCGCTGAGAAACACAGATGAGGTAGCTGGACGTTATAGAGAACGAATCAGAGTGAGAATGACCTGGGATTGCAGATCGTCAGGCAGGCAGAGCAGGGGGACTGGTGGTGAAGGGGTGTAAACAAGCAGCTACCTCCTCTCGTCGCTGTCAGAAGAGTGTTGGCAAGAATTCAGTCCCAGAGGACCATGGTTATTAAATTTAACCTGAAAATCGATCATATGAATTTTTCTTTCTGGAAACACAGCATCCTAACTGATTTTCATTGGTCTCATTTTAGCAATGTTTGCTGTACTCACGAGTGTCTTGACAAAAGATGACTGGTGGAACCTTCTGTTGAAGGCTGTATACTCCTTATGTGACCAATCCCGATTTCAGGAGGCTGAATTACTTGTGGAATCTTCATTGGAATATTATTCATTTTATGATGACAGGCAAAAACGAAAAGAACTAGAATACTTTGGTCTCTCTGCTGCAATTCTGGACAAAAATTTCAGAAAGGCATACAATTATATCAGGTGACTTTTTTCAATAACTTATTTTAATTAGATTCTTTGATAGAGTATGTATATTTACTTGGACCTAGTGTCTCATGCTCAAGAATTAATTAGCTGTTTTATTTTAACTCTCCTGTTGCTTGCTGGTTAATTCAGTTCATTGGTGATTCTCACAGGCCTGCACTTTCATATACTTAACCTCCTGTGCCTCAGTCTCCCCGTTTATAAAATGGACATCATAATACTCCCACCTCAGAGGATTATTGTGAGGGTTAAATGAGTTATATATAAAGCCTTTTAACAAAGTCTGGCACACATGATGATTAGTTATTGTTCATTGCTCATTGTAGTGCAGCTATAGTGGGCAGGGAGAGAAAAGGTGAAACAGAAACCACTTGATTGTGTTGTTTTGTTGAAAAGCAGAAACAAGATGTAGAAATACTAACTTAAGCAGCATTTTTCTAGGAAAAGTCTTTCACTGTGTGTTTTTGCTGAAATGGATCGAGATCGTCTGCTTTTCCTTGTTGAGGGATGGTGTATTTCAGTGTTGGCAGGACAGCACTGAAAGATTTCATTCTTAGAAATCAGGAAGATTTTTTTTCTACATTATTTTTTACCCTCACCCTCTTTCTGCAATTTTAGGATAATGGTAATGGAAAATGTCAATAAACCCCAGCTCTGGAACATTTTCAACCAAGTTACCATGCACTCCCAAGATGTACGGCATCATCGCTTTTGTCTCCGTTTAATGCTGAAAAACCCAGATAATCATGCCCTGTGTGTGTTAAATGGACATAATGCATTCGTATCTGGTAGTTTTAAGCACGCGCTTGGTAAGTGTCCTGGCACGTGACTTTGTTAGGCATGGACAGTGTGGCAGTTAAGAGCCTGGCCTCTGGAGCAGAACTGCCTGGGTTTAAATAGCTGCTCCCCAGTGGCAAGTTACTCTATCTCCCTCTGCCTCAGTTTCTTTATCTCTGAAATGGAGATAATAATTGGACCTACCTTGTAGATTATTGTGAAAAGTGAGTTAATATAAAATACTTAAAACAATGCCTGGCACATATGGTAAGTCACTGTAAGTGTCAGCAATAATGATAATAATATTAATATTTATTTTTCTTATGAAGCTTTGGTTTCAAAAGGCTGAAGTAGGTCTTATAATTCATTTTAAAGGTCATCAGTTCTCCCTATAGGCTTGTTTGTTTTTAAAATAATTTTCATTAATTATGGATGCTTTGCTACCTGATTTTTATTTGCAAAAAGATTTAAGATTTGCAAATAGTTCATTCCTTTAGGAGACAAGTCTTTATATCAAGATTTATTTACATAGTGCTTACTAATTCTAATTAAACTCAGGGAAAATTCAGCAATCATTTATAAGAAATTTCTGTAATAAAGAATCAGAAGCAAACAAATAGAAAAATACTTAACCAAATGTTTCAACGAGGGATGTATATCCTGCTGCCTAGAAGCTAGTGTTGCCAAGTCCGCTTCTGAATAAACTGTGATTTTGGCTATTTAATACTTTCATGTTTCTTTGTGTATTGCTGGTGTTTTTTTAATTGTTCAGCCAGTAACCGTGAACATCAGATGTTGAAACTTTCCTCCACTCTGTGTTCTTTTGGAATTGTTAGTTTAATATTAAGAAAATAGAAAATAGAGATTTATTTTCCTATATTTAGAAACTTTTACAGAAGGTAAAAAAGAAAGTCCAAGTGGCAGTCTACCATTTGTGCTGAGATTTTGTGGTGCCATTCCTTCTGGAATAGAAGCCAGAAAGAATAGAAGTTTTCATCTATGTATGATAAATTATAGATCATTCCCTTATAAGAAAAATTTGCTTAAATTCCTCTATCTCATATCATTAGGCTTTTGACATGAGACTATTGTACATTAGCATACGTGGAATTCACAAAACCCCAAATTCTTATTTTGTTATTAGATACATTTAGCTTTTCTCAGGAAGAACAAAGTAGTTGATACATTTGGGAAAACAACATCCATAATCTAAAAAAGCAAATCAAAACTATTTTTCTTTTTCTCACCTCCATAATCTATCACATTTGTATTTATGACAGATTAATTAATTTTTAAAAAATTCACCAAAAGACATGTTCCTCCATTGTTTTTTAAATAGATTTAAGGTCATAAGATAGATTTATGATCACAATTGATGAATTATTTTTTTTGAAAGTACTAGTCTACATGGAAATGTCTAACTGTGCCTAAAAGAAAGTTACTTTGAGTTAGTTGTATTTCATCTTCGTGGTCAGGATACATTCATGGGTAAATTCTTGTAATTTTGTTATACATTATACATATATGTATACATATATATACACACACATATATTTTAAAATTCTAATTAATGTGCATCTGGTTGATATGTTAGAATGTACACCGTGCATACGTTTATTATCAGTAATGTTTGTTTAGCCTTAAAATATATTTGAATAAGTGTTGAAGAAATAAGGAACTATGTTTTTGTCACACCATCTGATGTCACTGCTCATTTTTCAGGACAGTATGTGCAAGCCTTTCGCACCCATCCCCATGAACCTCTCTATAGCCTCTGTATAGGCCTGACCTTTATTCACATGGCATCTCAGAAGTATGTGTTAAAGAGACATGCTCTTATTGTGCAGGTAATTCATTTGGGTTTTTCCTTACGTGATTTTATGTTCTCTAAAAATGACTATCTTTATTGCTTTTGTTATCCTCCTTCAAAAGTTATACCTGCTTCGTACACATGTTGGGAGTCCTAACACGTATCCCTGTGTTATGCACTGATGGACTCAGCATCTGTTGGTACTCCTGGCTAAGACTATGCAGCCTTGTAGAAAGGGTACACACCAGGTCATAAGGGAAGAAGACTCCGGCAGAATCTGGAGGAATCCTGTGCAGGCTTCTGTATAGTCTGGAGCCCTTAAGGTCTCCAGCTTTCTAGGGGTTGAAGATTGATTTATTTTAAATTAGTTTTTAAAAATATACTAATGTAGGGGCAGGCCCAGTGGCGCAAGCGGTTAAGTGTGCGTGCTCCGCTGTGGCGGCCCGGGGGGCGCGCACCAACGAGCTGCTTGTCAGGCCATGCTGTGGCGGCATCCCATATAAAGTGGAGGAAGAGGGGCAGGGATGTTAGCCCAGGGCCAGTCTTCCTCAGCAAAAAGAGGAGGATTGGCAGATGTTAGCTCAGGGCCGATCTTCCTCACACACACACACACACAAAAAATAATAATGTATACATACAAAAATGTATGAATATTTGACTGTGTGACTGTTTTTACATCATCACCAACAAATTGCTCTTTTAAAGTTTTCTTGGTTCTTACAGTAATTTGAAATTACCTTTTTATTTTCTTGTTTACTTTTTTTTAGAGACTAGTCTCCCCTCATCCACAGTCTTGCTTTCTGTGGTTTCGGTTACCTGTGGTCAAGTGCAGTTTGAAAATATTAAATGGAAAATTCCAGAAACAAGCAACTCATAAGTTTTAAATTGCACGCCATTCTGAGTAGTGTGATGAAATCTCACAGTCCTGCTCCGTCCTGCCAGGGACTCTAATCATCCCTTTGTCTAGCGTATCCACACTGTGTACACTACACTTAGTAGTTAGTTTCTTAGTAACTGTCTCGATGATCAGATCGATTTTTGAGGTATTGCAGTGCTTGTGCTCAAGTAACCCTTATTTTACTTAATAATGGCCTTGAAGTGCAAGAGTAGTGATGCTGAAAATTTGGATATGCCAAAGAGAGGTATTGTTGTTAATCTCTAACCGTACCTAATTTAGAAATTAAACTGTATCATAGGTATATATATACAGGGAAAAAAAGTATGTAGTGCGTTCTGTACTAGCTGCAGTTTCAGGCATCCACTGGGGGTCTTGGAATGCAGCCCCTGTGGATAAGTGGACGTGACCGTAGCTTGTCTCCTCTAATAAGAATATAAACTCCAAGAGATCAGAGATCTTGTCTATCTTGTTTACCACTGTATCTTCAACTCTTTTGTTTTTATGATTTCAGTTTTTATGTTTATATGTTTGATGCATGTATAGACATGTTTTTTAAGTAGTTAGGGAGGGAAAGAAAATGTTGCCTTAAATGGAGTAGCAGGATTTAGTGAAGGATTTTTTTTGGTTTGTTTTTTAAAGTAAAATGGCTAAAAGAAAGCCTAAATTAAAATGATGATAATTGTTAAAACTAGGTATTGGAGGTCATAATAATGTTCTCTTTGCTTTCAATATTTGAAATTTTCCATAATGAAAAGTAAAAAAAAACCAAAAAACTCTGAAATTTTGCTTTGCTGGGGGATTTATTTGTAGTATTTTGTGCACCTCTTCCTCTAAGCTTCTTTTCCTTCCTTAATGGATATTTTTGCTGTATTAAGTAATGTAGGGTTGTTTATAAATTGAACAAATATGTATGGAGCAGCCAGCACACTTATTACCAGGAAGTGAGGATAGTGCAGTGAGGGAGCACATGGACAGAATTCCTTGCCTTCATGAAGCTTATATGCCAGTCAAAATTGATAGGAAATTTATATGGATTAACTCATTATTAAATAGTTAAAATAGGTAGTTTTTTGGCCAGGTAGGACAAAAATTCATGTACTTCAAAGTGATTTGGAAGCTAAATTTCAAATCACTTTTATAGTTAAATAGTAGGTTTCAGACGGTTGGGGACAGAGATGAAAGAAGTGATGAGCAGGTGGGAGTTGGTGATGCCAATCTCTCCATTGTTGTGTGGGAAACATTTTCCATTGAAAAAGGTTTCCAAAAAGTAAGTTTTATTGTAAATAGCATGATTCCTAAATTGTTTTAAATTCTCATGAATCTATTTCTTCATGCTACAGGACTATAATTAGTTTTCCTTTGCACTAATTAAGAAAAAACTACTTTCATGTATTTTACTATCTTTATATATCACGCTGTATGAGTAAAATCTTGCATGTGTCCTCACTTCTACTTTTATTCAGTATCATACAGACAGTGTATACTTGGGCCCTTCAGTGATTAATGTGATCAAAATGTTTAAAATGTAACATAGTTAATGGAAAAAGAACTCATTTCCTTCTTTTCATTTAAATTTTTTTGTTTGTCATTTTTTTGTAGTTTTTATATTTGATGATTCATAATACCTAAGAAATAAAGTCGCTGTCCAGGTTACTTAGTTTTTTAATCACTAAATATTTGAATAGTCTTTCAGTTGTAAGAAGATTACCCTCCTAAATTTGTTAAAAAGTTCTTAAAATTCAGCAGATAACCCTTATTATTATATCAGAAGACCTATGAGTTCATTTGGGTTGCAGTGATTTATCTGGGATTACTATTCCTTCTTTCTCGGATTTTTATATTTAAATTATCTTCAAATCTTCATTTTTAAATATGAAGATTTGATATTTCTCTGAGATTAATAGTTTGTCTGCTGTTACTTAACAGAGAACCATGTTTTTCAGTGGAGTAGACGTCATAGTCACATACACAAATGGGTTTTATTATGCAGAAAGTATGATTTCTTTATTGAACATAATTATTTTTATCCCTAAAATTCCTTAATTCTACAGAATTTATTTATGAAGGAAAATTTGTGACCATTTATTATATAGCAGATCACCCAGGGAATAATTGCGTTTTATCTTCTATACTCACAAATTAGTTGATTTACTCTTAATTCTCCGGTAATATATTTATTTCCTTACTCACATAGGACACTTGCGCCTTTGCAGTCTGTAACTTGCTGTGGGTGATAAAAGTGGAAGCTGCATCAAAGGGGAGAGTGAATACAGGAGGAGGCAAAGAAGCAAGTTGCTTGTTGGATCCTGTGACACACAGGGAGCCTGCGTTATTATAGCTGTGCTCTGAAATTATCAGTTGCTCCATAAAGCCTCTGAGTCAGAAAGTTTTAGGGAAAAAAAAATATCAAGTTTTTGGGTTAAGAGGTTATTAAGGTCCTGAGAGATAACTTATGAAAGGTACCATTTACACAGAAAGGTTAGATATGCTCGAGTGAGTTTGCCCTGAGGATAAACCTTTCTAAATTATCATTATAAGGGCTCAGATTTTATTTTTGGCTCAATCTTTTAGACACATCTCAAACCAAAAGGTTTACTGGCCTCTAATGCCACAAAAGCCAACTTGAAACTAAAAAAAAAATATCCTGTGTTCTTATAGATATGGATCGTTGACAGCTAGTTGTAACATTTGGCTTTGTTGTCTGTGAATATTTTTGTTCTTAGCTTAAAAACAGATCTTTCCTTTACACGTCCAGAAGAGCTCTTGACTGCACTGTGATATGACACTACATTACTGACACACGTTTCTTTGGGGTGGGACTGTGTCTCTCTTTTTAATATTTATGTTCCCAGCCTCTGGCACATGTAGTGGTTCAATACGTACTTGTCAAATGAGTGAAATATTGAATTGTTTATCCTTTTCTTTTTGGTAGGGCTTTTCCTTTCTTAATCGATACCTCAGTCTACGTGGGCCTTGCCAGGAATCATTCTACAATTTGGGCCGCGGCCTCCACCAGCTGGGGCTGATTCATCTCGCAATCCACTATTATCAGAAGGCCCTGGAGTTCCCTCCACTTGTGGTAGAGGTATTGTAGGATTTCCTTTAAGCATGGAGGAGTCGCTTCATTTCAGCTATAGATAAGTGCAGTTAGCTCAGTGTTGTGGTCCAGACGGTGAAATAAATTATAGTTTATATATTAAAATGTATTTTTTCCTTATTTAATGCATTTATGTGATTATGTTCAGCAACAAGTAGATCTTTGACATCCTGGCCTTATGACCTGATTAGCAACCATGTGGATATATACAACTAGTGGTTGTGACCATTTCAGTTATCCTAAGATAGCCCGTCTGGTTTACAGGTGTGAGCGGGCAGACATGAAGCGTGAGTATGGAGTAACGTAACTAACCATTGTTCATTACCAAGCTCACGTGTAATGTATTTCTTTATAAAGATGGAAGACCAGTAGGAATGTAGTTTTGTTTATTTTAAGATCGTGTAATATAGGGTAAAGTCTTGCCAGTACTATGATAATCTGTTTAAAGTCTAATTTTTGTTTTAGTTTCTGAAGAAAAGTATGTGTTTTCATTGTTAATTTTTTAAGTTGCACATTCCCTCATGACTGTTTTCTATTACCTTTGTTCAACTTTAGACATGAAGCAAATGAACACACACTTTTATAGTTATGCTGATGGAATATATACACTTTTGTGTTCTTTATTTCATAAATACCTTTACGTATTGCTCCTTAAGCTTTATAGGGATCATTTTTCATTGTTGCAGATGTTTTTTCAGTTGACTCCAGAAGTTTGTATTGGGGAATTTTAGAAACATAGATCTAATCTATTCCACTGAGTTCATTGCTTTGTTATTTAAGTAGAAAAAAAGGTAATAGCCCCTAAGGTAATCATTATAATCAATGTGTTGTATGCCCTCCTAGATCTATTCTTTATAAGCCTTTCTGTTATATAGTACAGGTGTTTTTTCCCATCTGATCATTTGTGTTATAATTTATTTATTTATTTATTTTTGAGGAAGATCAGCCCTGAGCTAACATCCATGCTAATCCTCCTTTTTTTGCTGAGGAAGACCGGCTCTGAGCTAACATCTATTGCCAATCCTCCTCCTTTTTTTTCCCCAAAGCCCCAGTAGATAGTTGTATGTCATAGATGCACATCCTTCTAGTTGCTGTATGTGGGACGTGGCCTCAGCATGGCCAGAGCAGTGGTGCGTCGGTGCACGCCCGGGATCCGAACCCAGGCCACTAGTAGCGGAGCACACACACTTAACCGCTAAGCCACAGGGCCAGCCCCTATTTATTTATTTTTTTACATGCAGAAGTTTTACAGTTTTTATGAAGTCATATCTATTAATCTTTCCCTTTATAGTTTCTATTTTTGCTTTTTTTTTATTTTGAGGAAGATTAGCCCTGAGCTAACATCTGCCAATCCTCCTCTTTTGGTTGAGGAAGATTGGCCCTGGGCTAACATCCATGCCCATCTTCCTCTACTTTATGGGACACCGCCAAAGCATGGCTTGATAAGCGGTGTGTCGGTCCGCACCTGGGATCCAAACTCACGAACCCCGGGCCACCAAAGCAGAGTGGGCGAACTTACCTGCTACGCCACCGGGCCAGCCGCATATTTTTGCTATTATTTAGAAGGGCCTTTCCTACCTAAGATTATATTATATTATTCAACTTTTTTTTTATGGTTTCATTTTTTTTACTCTTAAATATTTAATTCAGCTGGAGTTTATTCTACTGTGGTTTGTGGGTGAGACTTTTCTTTAACTTATTGGTTAGACATTTAAAAATATTTGATGACAGTATAATGAATCACTGAATCAGCATTATCTGATAAAAATTTAGATCCAAGGTATATGCATAGTTTTATAATTTTTTTTAGTATTATGAATTTTAATAGCTTTTTGAACACTTACACTTATGAAACTGTTTCTTTGCCATAAAGTTGTCCTGATTGTCAGTTTGAAATATAACTCATTTATGTATTTTTTCCCTCCAGGGTATAGAAGTTGACCAGTTGGACTTACGAAGAGATATTGCCTACAATTTGTCTCTCATTTATCAGAACAGTGGCAATATTGGAATGGCTCAAAAGCTTTTGTATACCTATTGTTCTGTATGAAGCACCTCAACTGAGAAAGGGGCATTGGGCAGCTGCTGTGCGTGGACCAGTATTTTCTGTCTCAGGGCTTATTATTAACCCCAAAATGAAAATGATAATTTCACAGTTATCTAACATGTATTTCATTTTTAATATGTGATAATGATCTTTTGGTAGATATGCAAAATTGTCATTCCTACGAGAATTTGTATATTGCTCTGTCATTTCCCTTTTAGCATTTTTTAGTTAAATTGTCCTCAAAGTGGAAATGAACAATCTTAGCCTTTAAGCCAGCTTGGAGTTGAATACACTAATTTTTTACTCACATCATTTGTTCATCCATGCATGTAATACTATATATTAACACCTACAATGTACCAGGCACTCTGATTGGTGCTTGGAATGTAGTAGTAAGACAGATGGGACCTTTTAATACAATTCTTTAAATACAGAACTCGAGTATATATTTATTTGAAAGAAACGTTTGCTATGTTTCTGCATACGCCATCATTCTTGTAAGTCATCCATTTCTTAGTGCGCTGTTACTATTGCATGGGCAGTTTTTCAAATACATAGAAAAGGAGGTTGCTTATTAAAGGAAAGATAAATTTCACAAGCTCTTTCTGATGTCAACACAATTATTTAATTCACTTAGCTCCTAACAAAATTATTTAAAATGGTTATGTGGTGGGAAGACAAATAATGGAGTTAATCTTTTACTTTTCACCTGCATGTATCTTAGCTACATTGAGTGAGACCTGGGAGACTGGGCTCAATTCAAAACATCCTGCTCTCAGGCAAATAAATGCATTACCAATGTTTGTGGCTTTCAGACAAAAAAGTAGAAAAGAGAGGACCATGTTCAATAACCTGACCTGGTTTCCATTTCAAGATCACCAGGGATGTAGGCAGATTGGGGAATGCTATATTTGGAATAAAGTATTGCTGATAATGTAAAAAAATAGATAAAAAGCTTTACTTATCTCAAATATTATATGTTCTTGAATTTATGATAACAATACTTGTTAGATATACTATTGGTTTAATAACGACTTTTTAGAGTTTCTTTTTAGGGGAAAATAAATGCTGTAATAAATGTGCATATGGATTGTAAGACCCAGTGCAGTTGTGGGAGGGAAACAAATATGAGACTTAGGATCAAAGAAATACCGTGGGGGCTTTTTAGGAATTCTTAACACTGTTTACACTGTATACATAACTTTGTAGTTGAAAAGCAGAATTTGTATGTAATAAGTAAATGTCGTGCACTCTGTATGTATGTGTGTATATATGTATGTATATAATTTAAATAAATTTTATTTTTATAATTAAAGTTGTTTCACATACTTATGTATATATATTGTTTCATGCCATTTGCAGGTAATGATAAAGCTAACTGTGGTAGAGTATAAGTTAGATTTGTGTTTTAGAATCCTGTGGAATTGAGTATTCTGTGTTCAGAGTTTCTCTCTTGAATTAAACTCACTGGGCTGTGACTCCAGTATCTGCTGAACAGCCTTGGAGGAAACAATAAATCTCTGTAGCAGTTTTCTAAGAAAAAAAGTTGGTATTGCATGTGTTTGTTTAGCATTTAAAATCATGGCTACCATTTGCTGAGTGTTTACTATGCTTCTGTGTGCTAAGTACAGTGCTGGACACTTTAGATACATTATCTCTGGTTCTCTCAGAGGATCACCTGCAAGTAGGTGCTATTATTGTTGTTATCATTATTATCATCTCCCTCTTATATATGAGAGATTAAATTGCATGTTCAAGATCACTGGCAAGCTACTCCTTGCTCAGAGATGTTCCTTCAGAGGAACATGCTTCCTCCAGTTCAGAAGAACAACCTAAAAATTGTGCATGATTTTATTTTAGAAAGGAAAAGGAGACTGGCAAATATTTTTTCTATCTTCCAGGCCTTCAGCCAATTAAAAGCCTCTGTAGACAACCCCCTTTGGGGTGTCTTGTAAGAAGCTGATATTCACTTTCTTACCTACCATCCTCCCCCCAGCCATGGGATCCTGATAGCCACTTTATACAATGAGATTCTTTTCTACTGGTCACAGTTGATTCAGCTAGGAGTCTGCTCCTGAACCAAGCTCAGCCAATCAAGAGTTTCCTCCCTTCTTCCCTGGGAATTTTAGAATTGAGATAGACCCTTTCTGTGGGCCTGAAACTTGAGAGCTATGGGGCCATTTTCTGCTTTCCCTGTGGGCCAACTTAGCAGTTAACCCATTCCATTGAGAAAAATAAAGCCTACACGTTAAGAGAAGCAGAAATGAGAGATGGAGAGAGCACTGCCTGGATGCCCAGAGATTTTCCACTCCATCCTTTCTAAGGCTGCATTCTTACCCTTGGGTTCTTTCTATAATATATCCCCGATTCCATAATAAATTCCACTTTAAAGTTCACAGTAGCTTGAATTTTTCTGTTGTTTGCACCCAAGAAAAGTCCAAACTGATCCACTATTATTCCATCTTCCTTTTTATTTCGCAGTCATGGGTTTTAGCTATTTTTGCAAGAAGGAAGGGCACGTAGCAACCAAGGATGATGTCGCTGCATTACAAGTAGTGTCATGAAGTCTAATCCACAATAAAGAGGCTTTTAAAAACTTCAAAGCAAGATAAGTAGGAATGTGCCTACTGTCTGGTTGTGTAAAGTCAACAGGTAGACCACAGAATTGTTCAATTACTATGCTTCTTATGGTACTTAATACTATAAGAAGCATAATAAACAGAACAAGGTAGAAAAGCATGGAAAAGAAGGAGTTAATGACCAAGGTAGGTGAGGCTATGGTAAGGGAAAACTATAAATGAGCTTCATCTCCAGGTCCGTGGTCCCAAAACCAATTGCTGTTATGTTATGAAACTGCAAATTGTAATTTTTGAGGCATTCTAAAGAAGAAAATGATTAAGTGAACTGAATTTTTGAAGTGGGCAAAAAAGGTGGATTCTGGAAACTGAGCATGATGTTGATCCTGACATGATTCTAGCCAATTTGTGTGCATGTAGAAGTGAAGTCCTTTAGGAGACATATTCCTTTTCCTTGGAAGGGGACTTGCTGTCTCAAGGGACTACTATAGTTTCGATGTATCTGGATTTCAGCAGAGTGTTCAAGGAAGCCTGTTATGATATGATTGTGGATTGAATGGAGAAATGTGGCTCTTTGATCTTCAGCTGGTATAATGACCAAACCCAAAGAATGCTGTTGATAGACAGATGTCAACTGGAGAGAAATTGCAAATGATATGCCACCAGGTTCTTTAACACCAACACTTAGATGAAGATATAAGAGGTTGTCAAATTTACATGTGAGAAAACTAGAAGTTATAATAAGTACCAATATTAATGAGCTAAGAATGAAAACTAATGAACTACAAGTAACAGTTCAAAAAAAATTATGCACTTAAGTTCAAGAACGTCAACTTTAAAAATATAGATTGTGACTAGTTTACCAGTAGCTCATTGAAAATTCTTTGGGGGCCGGCCCCGTGGCTTGGTGGTTAAGTGAGCGCGCTCCACTGCTGGCGACCCGGGTTCGGATCCCGGGCTCGCACCGGCGCGCTGCTTGTCCGGCCATGCTGAGGCCGTGTCCCACATACAGCAACTAGAAGGATGTGCAGCTACGACACGCAACTATCTACTGGGGCTTTGGGGGGAAAAATAAATAAATAAAATCTTTAAAAAAAAAAAAAAAAGAAAATTCTTTGGGAGTTTTAGCTAACAGCAAGCTCAATATGAATTGACAGAGTGATGTTTCTATCAAGTGAAATGTAATATTAGGCAACTTTAATGAAAATAGAGGAAAGGAAGACTCTCCTTCATTCTGATCAGATCCCACTGACATGAAGTCTCTCCAGAAAATGACAAATAGGAAAGTGAGTGTTCTTGAAAAAATAGCACATGGAGAACTCTAAAAGGAAATCAAGATGCCCAGCCTAGAATATAGAGGACCTGAAGGGGAACATGAGAGTTCTTTTCAAAGAGTCAATGGAAGACATGGGGAAGTAATTACTCTTATTCTGGGTAGCCTAGAGTAAATAGCATCTCCCTGTTTTTCCAATCTAGCTTATAAGATATATTTCCCTAACATTGTCCCTCACTTACTGTCTGTACAATCATTGGCAATTGGCATCTTCTGCCTAGCATTAACATCTTTTTGGATGGCGACTAGCTCACACTTCCTCCTTTTCTGAAAATGACCCCCAATAAAGACCAAGTCCTCCTGCCCTCTGTTAATTGAACTTGACCCAAGCTAGGCCAATCATATTCTCTTTTCCTGTATTTTGAAGCTTATCCTGGAGAGATGATAAAATTGGGTGTCTTTGGAACTGAATTACACTAATGCAGTCCTTTAAGGAAAAAGGTTGGCAGAGTCCTGCTGCTGAGGTACCTCGAGTCCTCCTTCCTTCACAAGTGAATTCTTCATTTGATTCTGTAAGATACTCATATCCTTTCAATAGATTCTTTCTTACATAAGCTAGCATGCCCATTGCGCCTTCCAGGAAGCAGGTGTTGAGCAGTACAAAAGTTGTATGGGTGAGTAACACTTGTGAGGAAAAGAGCGGACCAGGCTTGGGCAGGGGGAGCCATCAGACCGCCATGCAGACCTGACACGATCTGTGCCAGCCCAACGGGTAGCTCTGGACCAAAGACTGCCTGTTGGAGGAGTCCTGTGATGGCGGATACAGCTAGTCCCTTGTAGTCCACCCAGCCTTGCTCAGTCACTGCCTGGAAGTCACTGAGAAGAGCATGACCTTGGTTATCTCCACCTCGCTCAGTCATTGGCTGGGGGCCTCTCTGAGAAGAGCGTGACCTTGGCTCAGAAGCTGAGGCATAGCTTGAAGTTGGCAACAGCTGAAGGCACTCAACCAACCACACCCCTGGTCTACAGAGGCCACAGAGGTTTCAAGACCAAAAAAAAAAAAAAAAAACAAACAAAACAAAAAATACAGTATAAACTCAAGACAAAAGAGAACAGGAGAAGAGATGACAGATGACAAAACAATTTCAGAAACTAAAAAGCAAATGGGCAATTGGTAGCTCACTTAATAAACCAGAGAAAAATGAAAGCCAAGTGCCCAAGGAGGTGCTGGGGAGGAGCCGGAAGCAAGCTGATTCACGCCTAGAGGCTGGTGCGTTAGAGACAGGAGGCTTCTCCACCCGCAGGGCAGTGGGGCTAAAGCCAGGCGAGCACTTGGAAGTCTGTTAAACAGTGAGAGCCTCCTAGTGAGCCTCTTCCCCTGGAGCAGGGAACTGCATCACCCCGCCCTGCAGAACACTGTGAGTTTATTTTCTGGAGCTGTCGGACCAGGCCTTCTGGAT